TCCAGGCAGGTGCTAGAGAAGTGGGAAGAAAATCCAGGCCACAAAGCCATAATGTCACTCCACGATGAAAAACTGACCATGCTGACGCATCCACCCCTCCCGCCCCCATTTGTAACCCTCTCTGCTGGATTTTGTCTGCCATTTAGCAGCAATACTGACCAAATGCAAGGTTCGGCACAATCACTATTGTTTGCAGCTGGAATAGAATCGTGGCCGGGCAGCCTGACACCTTTATACTGGTGACACTTCTGCTGCTCTATAACTTAGGATTTCAGAATGACCCTGTGGGACTTCTTAAATCTCCTGAAAGCTTCCCAGCATCACACCTAAGTTCAGATGGGTATGGTAGGTGTGAAGCTGAGATGTTCTGGCAGGGAGTTGTTTCTTTCCATCCCCGTTATTCAGATTGCCTGTAACTGTTGACACCATCCAAGGTGAGGTGGTGCTTGCTTACTTGATGATACTCAAGCTTCACTTTGGGCTGGCACATCTCACACATCCCAGAGAGCCATGCGTTCCCTCATGCTTACCCAAATCCAAGTATGGCTATTAGCTGAGGGAAGTGGGAAAAAGGAGGAGTGCTCCCAAACTCGCACCTCCTTTTCCCAAGGCGGCACAGGACACAGCTTGTGATCCTGTGGCTAGAAAGTGTGCATTGCAAAGTCTTCATGCACATGAGAGGAAGGCTGCAAAATGTGCATGGGATACGAGCTTACAAGCTACTGGGATCTTTGCTCACGCTCTCAGCCAGCTCTGCCTGCCCAAAGCTCCTGCTGTACCTCAGGGACTGCATGACCAGTTAGGTCCAGTTCTTCCAGCGCAGTTTCTCCCCTCCATCTCCCCATGCAGCTTTTGAAGCTAAATTACTCACTATAGAGGCTGACACAAAGGCAAGGGCTCTGGCTGGCCAAGATTTCAAGCAGTATGAATTTAAAGGGAGGAGGAGGAGGGGGAGGAGGAGGGGGAGGAGGAGGGGGAGGAGGAGGGGGAGGAGGAGGGGGAGGAGGAGGGGGAGGAGGAGGGGGAGGAGGAGGGGGAGGAGGAGGGGGAGGAGGAGGGGGAGGAGGAGGGGGAGGAGGAGGGGGAGGAGGAGGGGGAGGAGGAGGGGGAGGAGGAGGGGGAGGAGGAGGGGGAGGAGGAGGGGGAGGAGGAGGGGGAGGAGGAGGGGGAGGAGGAGGGGGAGGAGGAGGGGGAGGAGGAGGGGGAGGAGGAGGGGGAGGAGGAGGGGGAGGAGGAGGGGGAGGAGGAGGGGGAGGAGGAGGGGGAGGAGGAGGGGGAGGAGGAGGGGGAGGAGGAGGGGGAGGAGGAGGGGGAGGAGGAGGGGGAGGAGGAGGGGGAGGAGGAGGGGGAGGAGGAGGGGGAGGAGGAGGGGGAGGAGGAGGGGGAGGAGGAGGGGGAGGAGGAGGGGGAGGAGGAGGGGGAGGAGGAGGGGGAGGAGGAGGGGGAGGAGGAGGGGGAGGAGGAGGGGGAGGAGGAGGGGGAGGAGGAGGGGGAGGAGGAGGGGGAGGAGGAGGGGCTGTGTTCTTACATTACAGCCGCCCCTGTCCCAAGGTCCTGAGCCAAGAGGATTGTCAAGATTAGAAACATTATCTGCATTCAAATCCCACTAGCATTATGGAATCAGAAAATATTGTAAGGAGATATATAAATGCTTGATACTGTAATGAGCAGGGGGCAACTAGCCAAGCTGCTGTGCCTCTAGCACAACTCTATATTTTGCTGCCTTATGGGGTTCAAATACAGGTGTGGGAATACGTCCTCACCTAAGCACTGCTCAGACTCACCTGCTGCAGTGGAAAGCAGGGAAAGCAAGGGCAGGAGCAACGTCCAGACCCTGCAAAACTTGCAGTTGAAAAAGCCACCGTAAGTACTGACACCCTGCAAATGTCTCCTGCCTCCAGGCGCTGCCACAGTGGAAAGAGCTCCCGAGAGTCTCATGTTGCATAAAGATTTCCCCAGTGCAGGACCCCAGTGCTCTGTGGATGGGCACAGGCTGTACCTCTCACCTCATTATCTTATTAGCATGAAAGTCCCAGCAAAGGAGGCAGGCTGCCCACTTAGCTCTCAGCTGTCCCCGCAGGCGCACGCATACGCTGTACACACGCGCTCTCCTATATACGCACATTGTTGCACATCTTCTCTCAGGGTGAGCCTCTTCAGAGGAACATTGCCAAACACTTGTACCCACGGTACATACACCTTCTAGAGACAGTCTCACTAGACACAGTCACACAAGCCCTGCCACACCGACAGGCACACCTCCAGCATTACTGTGACCTTTTTTGCCTCCCGAGCCCTAACGAAGTGCACACTCCCACAGTCTCACACAAAGAGGCTTTCATCCCATCACCCACGTTTTCTTGACATGTTTACTCTTTCCCAGCATCTCCCATGCTCACAGCTACACAGCTGCACCCACACCCCTCCAAAGAGCTATCTTGCGTACGCTGCATGCTGACATACATTACTCCTGATCAATGCCTCCTCTCTTGCAAACATCCCTGCTCACGCCCCGCTCACACTACTTGTCTGTAGCAGGTGTTGCAGCTTTTCTGCGCATTTGTGGGCTTCTTCAAACACCCCCAAAAAACTCTAACCATCTCCTGTGTGCAGGAGTCAAGAACTATCGGGCTTAAACTGCCTTGACTTCATCTGGCACATGGCTAACATAGCTGTAAGTAGCTAGATCAAGTATGGACTGGACTGGACATGACTGGACAGTCTTCTTCCCTTGGGCTTTCTGTGTTTTACCTCTGGTCACAGTGCAGCCAGAGCCTCAAGCATTGACTCTGAGGAACCTCTTGCTGGTCTACACAACTGCCAACAAGCGGGGACTTGCTGACCATGTCCCCTAAAGCTGATGATCCTACAGGCTCCATCCCTTTGTCCAGTAAATGCAGATCCCCATAATGGGGAACAGAAAACAGCTTCTCCCACCACTACCCGCTTGCAGATGTCTAGGGAGCTCACAAGAGGAGTCCATCTCTCCCTGCATTATTGGGTATCAGCTGCTCTCAGGTGCTCTAACATGGATGACCGTGACCTGAGCCAGGAGATGAGATGCCAGATGAGTCAGACCAGTGCTCAGATGCTTTATCAATGGATGTGCAAATATGGACCAGTGCTCTGCCCCATTCAGGCAGTATCCCCTGTAAGCATGAGCCCTGAACGTGCAGCCTCACCTTTATTTCAAAGCACTGAGATAGAACAAGGAAAGAGCGGTGAGACTGTGTGTTTTCTGCATAACACGGAGCACCCCTTTTGTGTCACATGGCAGCTTTTCCCCCTAAAGACAACAGGCCAGTAGCCGCAGGGGGATTAAGGTTGCAGTGATGCTGTGATGGTTAGTGGAGAATACATCCTTCTGGAGGGCTTTGGGACAGGCCTTGGTACATGTATTTGGTGGAAGGGAGAAGACAACCATGTTCTCCATCACTCCCCTTCACCCAAGCAAGGTTCCTGATCCCCAGGGTGCCCGCAGTCTCCCCCAGGATTTCGGGGAAGGGCTGGGCACTGCCAGCATGGGGAGCTGGTTGGCCCCATGATGCCCTGGTGTGCAGGCAAGGGGGCTGCTCCACCGCTTTTGCTCCCCAATGCCTTTAATCGCCACTTGCTCTCGCAGCGGCCGGGCACAGGCGGAGGCTATTTATAGCATGGAGCCAAGGGGCCGCGCGGCTGCAGGGGCAGCGCCACTGGGTGACATTCAAGCCGGCTCTGAGGCCAGGGGGATGGTGCCAAAATGGGTCCTGGGGGAGGATGATCCTCATAAATCAACCCACCATCCCTCTAGCCACAGCTTTTCTTCTGCCTCGCTCCAGCCTCCCACAGCTGAGTGCAGGCAGCTGTGCCCTAATAGGGACATTCCTGTCCTGCAGGCCCCTGACACCTCATCCCCATTGTCCCTCCCATCCGGCAGGGTTGGGAAGGGGGACAGCAAGAAGACCATCAGCATCAGAGGCATTCGTAGAGCAGGATGGGAGAGGGAGGAGAAGGGGGTTCTTACAGCTGCTTGGTGGTCTCAGAGCATCATTACTACCTTGTAGGGTCTCTGGCATGCTTGTGGTGGGGCTAAGTCAGTGATCTGGTAAGTGGGCTCATTTCCCAGGGTGACTGCATCTCTACGGAGCCCATCTGGAATTCACAGGGTCTCACTCGGGGCCACTTCCACCGCAGGGCACTTGCAGAGCGTCTCTCCTTTCCTCACATATCTATTTTCACAAAACAGGCAGGAACTTGATACCTTCAAGAGGCCCCTTCATCAAAAATGGTGGGAACAGGGGCCAGTGGTTTCTGAAGCTACGAGGAGGCAAACACGAGCATGGCTGGGATTAGCCTCCTTTCCTTAGGAAAAAGAGGAGACCAGAAACTGGGGGGTGACTGAAGCCTGGATAGGAGACATGACTTAAAGCATTTCACAGGAGAAGGGACCGCTTTTGCAAAGCCAGGAGTCCCTCTGCTTTATTTTGCTGGGAGCCTGCTTTAGCCATCCCATCACATGTACGAAGGAAACAGTGCCCTGCATCCCCTCCAGTTTGCAGCCACTGCTGCCTGGCGCCAAGCACTTCCAGAGTTAAAATATCCGTGGTGCCCACATGTCACACTCCCCCGCAGGAGGCCACCAAGGCACGAGGGAGGAGACAGCTTTTGCTTTGTGTCGATGGCACAGGCCTTTCTCCCAGCCGTGCCCACTGCTTTGGTGTCCCCGATTCAGCTGGGAGCCCTCTCCTGATGTCCGAGTGTCAACCAGCAGTTAGCAGCATGTGGTATTGCCAGCAAACTCGGTGCTGCGACATAGTGGGAAGAAACCCAACCCTTGTGACCTCCGGGCAGCGTTATCTCAGCAGGGAGGCAGCATGTGATGCATCCCACCCATTGGTGCTGCCTGAAAGCAGAATATGGGTCACTTGTGTCTGTCGTGCAATGCTAGCAGGGTATGATGCCCTTTAGCTACCCTGCGGTGTTAATGCCGCTAACGTTGGGCTCTCTGGTTCCTCCCACAGCTGGCAGCTCAGGTCCTGGAGCCCAGAAGCATTGGCTTCGGGATGGTGGACTCCAAGAAGGATGCCAAACTTGCTAAAAAGCTAGGTGAGTCCCATATCTGATATCTCTGGAATAGCTTGGAGAGGGTGTTGGAGTGATGCCTGACAGACAGCCCCAGAGAGGACAGCCAAATCCTTGTCACCAGGATGGGGAGGGTGATGATGGCAATTGCACACTGACCACCTGCCCACCCCAACATGGGCAGGATCAAGCCGGGGGGTGAGGATGAGAGGGGTGAGCCAACACCCTTCCAGCAAAAAGCTTCCTGGCTGAGAGTGCCAAAACCAAACCAAACCAAGTGAAAAAGAAAGCCAATTCATGCCATAGCGATGACAGGGTGGATGCTCACAGCTTGCTGAGCAGAAACCGTAGATAGGTGTCATGAAGTAACTCCCTGGTCTTTCAGCACAGAGACAGGTCTGACACAGCGGCGCAGAACCAAAACCTACAGGGACATCACATAGGCCCCCAAATGTCACCAGCCCCATGGCAGAGTGACCCCCAGCCTCTAACGGAGGAGCCACAGCCTTGCAATGGTTTGGCAGCCAGGTGTCAACCCTTCCTGACTTGCTCCCCAGAGCAGAAGAGGAAACCTCCTGTAAAGGTGAAACGCTGCTGCATTGCTCACCCCTGGAAACAGCTGCCTTCCAGAGGCTGGTGATTCCTTCATATTTTAGCCCACAAAGCAATATGGAAATACTATGGCACATAAATACAACAGCACATAAATATACCACTAGACTTAAGGTCAGAGACTGTTTAAGCATTCTGGGCTGTATAGTGGACTGTAGTTTTCTTTCCTAACTTAGAGGCTAAGTGTGCTGGTGGAAGCTAAACTAAAGGTGAGAGCTTCTGCCTCTCCAAGAAGGAACAAACTACCAACCACCTTGACCCATGGCACCCTGCCATCATGCATTGCAGGACCTTAGTGCTGCTGATTTTGGAGCCTTCACTGAGACGCTGTGGCAACCAGCCCTCAGTCCAGTGATATACCATTCAAATCTGCCAGCCTGCCATCTGTGGCATCTCTACCATAGGTTTATAACCCTTTTGCCAAGGCTAGCTAAGCTGCAGAGAGTTTGAAGCTCACTTTGGCTTCCAGCTCACTGTTTATGTTGACATAGTTCAGCCTTCTCCAGGCAGAGAGCACAGCCCGCATCAAAATCCATTTTCCATCTAGCGTCAAGTTGTTCAAGTTTGGGATGTCAGTTAAAGCCCAGTACTATTTACTGCAAAATTATTATAGATAGCAAAACTAAAACAAGTTCCCGGTACAGAATTTTTCCAACTGAGGCCAAACTGTGACCTGAACAAAAAAGTTCCACAGTTGGGAAGAAGCAAGAACAAGTTCTGGCTGAGGTCTGTCCCTATGCCATGAAACATCAGTCAAGAGATTGCTCATGTTGTTTCTAACTGGATCAACTCAGCAAACTGGCAATTGCATTTTCCCAGGAGGCGTTGCTAGAATAACAAGCAAGATACACTGTAGTAAAAATGCTTTTAGTGACGTTGACCACATTATGTTTCCTGTCTCCTTCTTGCAGGCTTAGTTGAAGAGGGAAGTCTCTATGTCTTTAAGGAGGAGCGGTTGATTGAATTTGATGGGGAACTGGCCACAGATGTCTTGGTGGAATTCCTCTTGGATGTAAGCACAGATAAGCTCAGAGCTAGATAAAGCCTCTCAAAGCAGACCTTGCAAATACTCCCTTTGCTAAAAAACACGGGTTTATCTTTATTTGAAGTGCCATCCCTGTTTGCTACACGCTGGTAGAGATGACATTTGCAAGCTTCCCAAATACTTGTCTGACCATGAGTTCCCAGGAAAGCTGGTACCTTTATATGCCACCAATCACTTACATCTTAAAGACTTTTTGCCCTCTTTCATGTTTATGGAGTATTTGGAAGCAAGCAACAATCCCACATAACTAACTGCTAGTCACCCACCTCAGTTAGCAAGTTGGCATGCAAACACTGCCATTTGCAAAATCTTTCACTCTTTTTTTTTTTTTAAAGAAGAGTTATTTTCAAAAAACATCCAAGAAATAGCATTCCCATAAGGCAACTAAAAGCAGTTCAATTCATTGAAAAAGGTATATGCTGCAAACTATTTGCCCATTTCTAGACACAACCGCACAAACAACGTAGTGTACTACTGCCTCTTCAGTGAACTTACTTACCAAATTGCACTGCCATGAGTTAGAGAAGAGCCTAGGACTTAGTGCTCTCAGGTCATTTTGTACATGGGTGCAAATACGTACTCACCCTTGCACCTAAATGCAAGAGAGATGCTGACTCCCTCATCAACGTATTACGCTTCTCTTTACATTTTATTCCAACAGCCCAGAAACATGGTCTTTGCTTTGTAGTGAAAACATTTTGCAGTGGCTTGGCTTTCCTTTGAAATGAGGCTCCCTTTATGAGCAGCCGTGCAATAATGCAGATAAGGGAGGTAAGGCAAGCGGCGGAGCCAGCAGGGTTTATTTCCCAGGGTGGCAGGTTGCCTAAACGGTGACCTGCGGTGCAGAAGTGCCAGTGGCAAGAGGCACGTCTGGGGAAGAGAAACAGCTCCCTAGGACCTCAGCTCTCCTACGGCAATGCATCTGTGGCTGCATGCATCAGGTACTGTGGCAAAAACACATATAAGTGGCTTCAGGGACAGAAGCGGGCGTCTTGCCCCGCCCAGGAGGGCCAGAGGCAGGGCAGGGCTTTGCTGTGACCCCAGCAGCGGTGGGATCCCTGGTTCCCGTGGCTCAGGCCACTACGGCAGCAGGGAGCTGCCCACACTGCTCTGGGCACAGCAGAGACGCAGCCACACGCCGGAGCATGACTCGCAAGGGGTGCAGCGTAAGGCACTTTGTGAGGTTTTGTTTGCTGTGCTTTGTGGTATGCTGCTGAAAAAACATGTTCTGTGAACAAAGGAAGAGAGGAAGGATTTCTGTTTGTGTGTTTTTCACTCAAGAGGGAAAATACCCAACAAAGCAGGGAAATAAAAACAAACACATCTGTGGTGCCTCGCAGCCTGCTCTCAAAGGAAAGCAAACCCAGAGGTCCTCTACTCCTCTGTAGGCTGTACAGTGGCCTGCCTGCATTTTTTTTTTTTTCTAGTGAAGCCACAACCTGATTTACACCAGTATTGCTGGGCAAAATAATCAGACCAAATCTTTTCACCAGCAGTGGCTAGTTAAGAAAACAGAAACAAATTTTATACTAATGACAGGCTGAAGCAGCAGATAGGTCTTCCAGCTTCCTCATCAAGACTGTGACATGTCTGGGGCCAAAGCATGGGTTTAACCCATTCTGCATAGGAGGATCAGCCAGGAAAATTCACATCCAGACTTTCCACTGCTCCAAAACATCGTCTGGCCACACTCTAGCATGCTGGTTTTAATATTTTCTGAAAGCAAGTTCTTTGCAGTAACCTCTTCCAGCAAATTACAGTTAAAAACAAATACATCCGTCGTTCACAGAACCTCACAGTCTCCATACCAGCCCCTTTCAATTGCTCTCCCTTCTTTTCAGCCACTCTAAAGCCAGTTGCGATTGCTACCCCTTATCTCACATCACAGCAGGTCTCTCAGCATCCATTTGCATTACCCAGACCTCTCTCATCTTCTCTCTTGATGCTTCAACCTATGCAGTGAACCTACTAACAGCTCCCTCTGAAGGTGACCTGCATCTCTTGGTTCCTCACATTAAGGCAGAGAGCACTAAGTAGGATTTCCAGCAGCAGAGAAATTGGGTGACCTCTTTCTCCCCACTTAGGCTGCTAGTGACACACCCTGCCAGGCATAGGCTGGTGCTGCAAATCATTGCGTTATCAAATGCATTTGTCATGGCAGCTGCTAGAAGACCCCGTGGAGATCCTAAGCAGCAAGCTGGAGCTTCAGGCCTTTGACCAAATCGATGACGAAATCAAACTCATCGGCTACTTCAAAGGAGAAGACTCTGAACGTAAGATGAATATGTTCCTCATGGGGCTTGGAGCCTGGCTGGGGGTGCGGGGGCCAGGCATTGGTTCTGCATGAACATTAAGGGTGTGGGGGTATATGGCAGGCTGTGACAGTGCCAAAGTTCCTGGAGGATGAGATGGGGTTGCAGGCAAGTTTCTGCTGTTGCTATGCATGAGCCCATTCCTACGCCAACAGCGGTGACCCTTCTGCAAGGTGTCTGCTAGCAAGAGAAGGGGGCGATTATCCAGGGTTTCCTGAAGAAAAGTAAGTCTACCTCACCCAAAATCACCGGAGGTTACAGTTACACTGGGTGAGCACCTAAAGGGAGCAAAACTCCCCCTCTTATGAGCAGTGAGCCCAAGAGGTCAAAGAAAGAGGGAGGGAGGCAAAGGGAAAGAAGGGGACACACATTAAATACTAACCTGGCAAACGTACAGCAGCAGTAAGCAGGACACCTTAGGGCAGCCTGGCAGAGGCACTGACCTGTTTCTCCTCGCTGAACCCCAAGACTGAGAAGAGGCTGGTGCCATGCCCTGAGGGATGTGCAACTCAGAGACCATTCCAGGCAAAACCATCAGCTTTCACAAGTCCTGAGAAACCCTCACCCGAGACTCTCCCCGGCAAGCCCCAGCAGTCTCCTCTGCCAGCCCCGAGTGCTCCCCCTGCTCTCCGGGCAGCGCTGGCAGCGTGCACCCCACACTTGCAAGGCTTGCCTTTAGCAAAAAGACAGGTATTCTTACCTGAATGAGCAACGTATCACCTGGTCTGCTGCACCGCAACAGCCCATCCACCTCTCCCTTCAGCTTTCTCACCCGCTCAAAATGAGCTGCAGGGCAGCTTGGGCAGGCCTGTGCCCCTAACGCTGTTCAGTGATAAGTATTTTGAAGAAAGGTGGGAAATACCTGTTGTAAAGAGCTCCCACCAGGCTGAGAGCATCCTTCCTGACCCCAGCTGAGGACCTGATACCAGTAACAGTAAAAACATACCTCGTTCCTGCCCCCTCCTCCTGCAGCAGGAGGAGCGTGCCTAATCATGCTCGGTGACTGTTTAGGGAATGGCAGCAATCATGAATGCTGGAGCAACTCCATGTATTTCCCAGGCTGGACTACTGCTTGTGCAAGCGGGCAGCTGCAAACACCCTTATCAACAGGCTGGAGTTGTAAGCCCTGGACCTGCTTCACAGGGCTGCTGATTTCAGCCCCAGTTAAGCATGGCATGCCAGGATCTGTAGTTTTCCTGAGCACTATGGGGCTGCACAACATGTGTCGTGTTCACTCCACATGAAATGGTCCTTGCTTGTAAACGCTGGAAGGGTGGAAGAAACACAGTGCCGTCATCTGATGTATTTTGCAGTAATTTATGTTTGTTCTTCCCTAGTGCCGTCTGTGCTGATCAGAGCGTGGCCAGCTGCCTGTGAAATCTTTTCTTCATTCCCCTTTTCTCTTTCTAGATTACAAAGCATTTGAAGAAGCCGCCGAACACTTCCAGCCATACATCAAGTTCTTTGCCACCTTCGACAAAGGGGTAAGCATCCACGGACCTCACCATGGGAGCTCACAGCCTCTACCACCTGTTTTCCAGAAGCTCAGGATGCTCCCAGATTTAATATCTGGCTCCAGCTTCTCATTTTCAGCATTCCTGTAATTTGTGGTATTGTTGTCCGCATTTGGATTTGGCCCTGTCGCAAGATAAAAGGCCATTGTTGCAGCATGGAGGCACGTCCTGGTCTGGGTTCAGAAGCCAGCCCCATTAGGTTTGCAGGACCTTGACTCTGGCCTTGCTCTGCCCCAGTGCTTGAGACCAGTAGTGTAGAGAGCATCAGTGGTTTTTTAACCAAGGAAAGATCCATTCACATTTTGTTGGCCACCCCTAAGAGTGCATGCTCTGAAAGAGCGTAAGCACCTTGACCTCAGCTCTGCCACCGGGAGAGACTCTGGGTAGGCAAAGAGGCACGTCAGGCTCACTCACCTCTGACCATCTGCACTGCAACAGGTTGCCAAGAAGCTAGGTCTGAAGATGAATGAGGTGGACTTCTATGAACCGTTTATGGATGAGCCTGTTCACATCCCTGATAAGCCTTACACAGAAGAGGAGCTGGTTGAATTTGTGAAGGAGCACAGAAGGTACGTAGCATGCAGGACACTCCTGGCCCTGGGAAGCGGGTAAAGGTGTCTGTCATCGCAGGCTTGCCCCTCTAGGGCATCCCTCTCAGTAAAAATTAGGATGACGACCACCTTTTGGTGATTTGCTGACCCAGGTTTGAGATTTTAGCTGGTCTTTTCCTACTCCCTGAGGTGCAAGTATCTGTGCTGCAATCAGCGCCCAGCACCATGGGCCTGTGACAACACAGCTTCCCTCCTCCTCCTCCCTGGTTAGTCCTCCCTCAAAGAGCAGGGAGGCTTGCAGGCAGCAGAGAGTGGAAACCTTGCCCTACTTGCCCATGCTTTTAATTTAGGTCTGTACAGAAGATTATCTTCTCCAAGGCCTCTCAATCCAAAACCAAATTCTGTCCAGTCCCCTCCTTCCCCAAAACAGCTTCACTAATGGGTATATCCCTCTCCTGATATCAGCTATGTCTGTAGGCAGGTTCTGAGCTCAGACCAAGCTCGGAGGAACTGTGATGGACTAAGAGTCTCCTGCTGACCACAGGCACAGAGAGGAAACCACTGCTGTTATGGCTGTCTTAGTCCTCATCTGCAAAGGTGCTGAGCACCTACAATGTTTGATCAAGTCAGCGGGGGCTGTGGATGCTCCGTGCTTTCTGTGATCAGGTTTATTGCACAGTTGTTTAGGGACTCCGCCACCAACAGTCTGGAAGCGACTGGAAAGGCTGATCACATGTAAAAGCACAGGGTTAAATATAAGGGCACAACTACCTACGAGGTGCTGTATTTTTCCACCCTTAAAAATACAGCACAGGATAGTCACGCAGGCTATCTGCTGCAACTGCATTTCCCAGCAGCCATTCAAGGGACCAGAAAAGAGTTCAAGAAAAGCAGGGCCATTGATACTGTTAGGGGAGCCCAAATCAGGCTGAGCTGGAGGTTTGTGTTCACACACAGAGGGTTCAGAGACAGGAGATCATCTCCAGAGTCCGTGAGTCAGCAGACTTGGAAACAGATCTTTGCTTTTTCTGAAATATGAAGGGGTCCTCTATCTCCTATGTACTCGCAGGTCACTTTGCTGACCTCCTGGACTTCCTGACCTCAGTCCTTCCCATCTTTCTTCCCAAGCTCTCTCTGTCAGGCAACAGCATCAGGAGGCTGATTAAACACAGTCAGCTAAGTGCTAGCCTAATAAGGCAAGCTCTCCACCAGCACAAAATTGCAGTGGAAACCCCCCAGGTCTTACATATTTCAAGATGCTATGTTGTGCTTCGTAGGAGCAAGGGGTCAGGCCATATATTTTGCAAGTGCTAAGGCTCAGAAGGGAATTAAAAGGAATCTCATTAAATTGGATGCCTGAAATCCCAAACCTGCCAAGGTGCTGTCATGCCTGGGGTGACAGTGATATGTTCCCAGCAGTTAATACTGAGTCTCTCGGAGCAGAAGTGCTTCTTCCTGCCTTGCCACCAGTAAAGGACCTAAAGCCAAAGGCTGGAAGTGGAATTAGTCAGACACAGAGATGATCAGGCCTGTAGAGAAAAACAAAGCGACCTCAGCAGCTGCCACGTGCTGGTTCCCTGTAGACAACTTGGCAGGATCTTCCGCTCTGCAGGAAGGTGTAGAGGACCACTTGCCTCCTCCCCCTCACGCAGCAGACTTTCTCACTTCACCCCAGCTGGCAGGCACGGGCTACCCCTCCGCTGAGGTGCAAAGCCCCTCTGCCACCTCTCCATCCTGCAGAAGGAGTCCCGTCACATCACTGGGGAAAGCTCCCAGTGCTCAGCAGTGCCCAGGCTCTTTGGCATGCTTTAAACAGCCCTTCCAAAAAGGGCTCCCCGCTGCACTGCCCAAGCAGGCTTCATCACCTCTTCCTCCAGGCCTGCGTGGAAATTGGGACTGGCTGAGCTCTCACTGCAGCCTCAAGACAGGAGCTGAAGCGGGTGCCCAGAAGGAGCCCGTACGTAGCCTCCTGGCTGATGCTTCCCTGGGCAGCTGCAGGCAGTGGTGGGAAAGTTCTCTACCTCTCCTGAGCAGGTCAGGAAGCCGGTGTTCAGCACAGTGGGCTGATTCATCCAAGGTCAATAGGTGTCCAGCTGGGGATGGTGGCTGGGTGCCGTGACTCCAAGGTCTCAGCCCAGATTTTGCTCTCAGTTGCACAAATACAAATTACATGGTAGTTTCTCTGCCTGCAGCAAGAGGCCTCTGGATTTATGCCTGTTTCACATGCAAAATGCTGGGGGTGGACACACACCCCCCCACCCCCACCCCCCGTTCTCTGTAATTGTGGTGTAGTGATGTGGGGGCTGAATTCTGCTCCCTCTTATTCACCTAAACCCCACTTACCTTGCTCCTCCATCATTGGGGAGTAACCAGAGTAAATCCTGAGTAACTCCACAACAATCGGTACACGTGGGTGTGATCAAATCCTTCCCACTGAGTTTCCGTTCTCCAAGAGCTGCCCCCCAGAGAACAGCTAGGGAAAGCATCTTGAAAGCCAGGTACAAGTACATAATATGCATTCACCTGATATAACCTCCAGTTTCTGACAATCAGCAATGAGGAGACTTGCTGGGTCAAAAATTGTATTCCTGATCTTGTGCTTAGTGGCTATTTCTTCAATTTCTATAGTAATTTTTTACCTCATTTCTATTTTGATGCTGGAAGTATCCAATTGTAATGAGTTCAGTGGCTGAATTATGCATTGCATCAAAAGAGCATTCCTATTTGTTCAGTTTATACCTGCTACCTAATAATTTCACTGTGTGCCTACTAGCTCTTGCGTTATGAGGAACAATGACTAACCATTCCCTGTTTCTATAATTTCACTGTGTGCCTACTAGCTCTTGTGTTATGAGGAACAATGACTAACCATTCCGTTTCTTTTTTTTTTACCACTCCCGATTTTTTAGACCCCCTGCCAATATCCTCTTTGTTGACCTCTTTTACAAGATAAAGAGTTCTCATCTAGTTAATCTCCCCCAAACAGAGGTTATTCCATACCTTTGTTCACCACTGCCATGTTTCCATATCCCTTTTTCAGTTGTCCCATATAATTTCTGTGATGGGATGACCAGAACCACAAATACATTCACTGTGGAGGTGCATAGTGTAGTTGTCCATTGCTACAACGGTATGATGTGTTTTTCCAACTGTTTGTAACCTTATTTTTGCCTTTTGCCTTTGGAGCTGATGCTTTCTCAATTTGTGACACCTGGGCCCCTTTCCTGAGAGGCAATAATTAATTATAACTAATTTAGAACCATTGTTGCACCTGTATAATCAGGGTTGTTTTTCTGCAAGTGCATTACTTCCTACGTCTATCATGCAGACACTCAAGTCTCAGGAGATCCCTCTGTATCTCCTCATAGTCAGGCCTGCGTTGGTCATCTGAAGAATTGGATATGATAAGGAAATGCTGCCATATTCCTATTTCCCGTCTTTTTCAGATTATGTGAGAATATGTTATGCATATGATCATGTTAAAGCATATGCTATGAATCTTAATTGGTTAATTCCCTCTGTCGTGAAAACTGACTATTCATCTCCACCCTTCATCTTCCAACATCACTAATCCACAGGAGGAGCTCTCCTCTGATCTAACTGCAGCTTAGTTTCTCTGAGACCTTGTCCAATGGTCCTCTGAAGGCAGTTCACTACATTGACCTTTGCCCACTTGTTGACTTGCTCTGGGGATTCCAGCAGATCCACGGCCCTGATTTTCCTCTTAAAGGCTGTGCGTCTCTTGTCCTATCACGTTATATTCCTTCAAATGTTTGTTAACTCTACTTTTTCTGGTAGCATAGTGCCTATAAGGAAATCATTCTTCCAGATCTGTGGCTCCTCAGGTCCTTTAGGAACCTCTAAAAAATGCTCCTTGTTTCCACTGCTCTGGTAGCGAGGCAAACCGAAGCGACAGGTTACACATCTCATTGATGCCACCTGGTCCTGGCAACATGCTGCTACTCCCTTTGCCAATTTCTTCCAGGACCTCATCGACCGACACTTCTCTTTGCAACAGCTGCTGGGGCTGGTCTGCCATGGAGACCTGCTCTGCTGGGGGAACCTCCCTGAACACCCGATGCCAGAGTGAGCAGAGATGCAAAGGATTACTTGTGCTTGTCTGCTATGGCCTTGTGTTCCTTGGGTGCCCCTTTAACACCCCAGTCACCTCGCAGCCTGCCAGGCTCTCTGACAGGCTTCCTGCTATGGACGTGTCTGAAAACATTTACTATCTTTTTTTTTTTTGTCCTTTATGAACTACTTCTCAAAAAAATTTGCTTTGGCCAGTCTTATGGTTTAAATTTTCTCGCCTGCGGTTATTATGATCTAAAATTCTTGACAGAGGTTATTCTGTCTTCTTTGCTTCAGCAGAGTTTGGAAGGATTTTTATGGTGGAATTATGCTGGGGTAAAACCAGAAGAAAAAGGGAACAAAGCCCTGTAGGAATGTCCCAAGGACTGCAATACACAAGTGAATGGGTCACCTCGTGCTCTCAGCACGGACAGAACAATCTGCCATGTGTAGGACCGATTCAACAGCATACCCCAGCACAGAGAGGCATCTCATGTTCCCAAGCACAAATAGCATCTGCAGTGACTCCAGTGGGGGCAAGGACAGGGTTTTATCACCATAAATAAAAGCATAAGTTGACCTACTGTGCCCCCATGCTTGCATTCAAAATGTGGTGGCCGACGGTGCTGACTCCAGCCACCAACCAAACATGCCACAGTGACCTTTTCCATGATGCCGGCAGCGTCATGTGTGATGGTGCTGGACACGTCCTCAAAGAGCATTTCTGTCTTCCTTTTAGGGCCACCTTGAGGAAACTGCGTCCAGAGGACATGTTTGAGACGTGGGTAAGCACGCGCGGGTGGGAAGCCTTGCGTCCCCTGCTAGTTTCCAACAAGAAACCACTGCTCAAAAGCTCTAGCCTCTGGCTGGGCAAAACATTATCTTCCCTTCCTTGCAAAGCCACTTTCCCTCCTCTGGGAAGACGGGAAAGCCTTGGCTATGATGCCCAGTGCCTGAGTTCAAATGGTGTGCTCAAATGCTTTGCTCAACAGTGGAGGACAGCTGAGCTGGGTCCTGTTTGCTCCACAGAGAGAACAGGGAAAGCTAACCAAGTGTGCCAGGTGGGTCTTGAGCCTCTGTAGCGGCCATGATATAGCTATGGAGAGCATCCTTCCCAAGGATGCTCTATCTTATCTAACGGGCATCAGTGCTGGTGGTGGGTTGCCTTCAGTGGCCTGCCCGCTGGGCGAGCTACAGAGGTTGTACCGAATGGATGAGTCATGGAAATTGTACCAGAGCAGATGTACAATTCAAAATGCAAGCAAGGGCAGGCAGTTCAGTTAATTATATAGATTATGGAGCAAATCATGTATTGATTTCACTTCTCACGGTGTGAGCAAGGTGCAAGTCAGCGATTGTGAAGAACTAACCAGCAGTTTGGCACCAATCACAGGCAGAGGACTCTCCTGGCCTGCAAGTGTGGGGGAAAAAGGGAAGAAAAATCGTGTATAACAAATTATCCCTTCACTGTGAATGTGTATGATGTTAATAGCCACTCAGGGACCTTCAAGTGCCAGCTGAATGCTGAAAAACAAAGCTGAACAGGTGCTTTACAGATGCTAAGGAAGATGCAGTCATTCCTCCAGAAAGCTCGGCATATTTATAACAGCATTCAGTTGTCTCCTTGCTTGGCTGTGTAACATGAAACGCTGCAGGACTCCGAAGCACCAAAAACCTTGGGAGTCTTTAATACAACAAGGCAAGAGGTAATAAAACTGAATCAGGAGTTATGAGTCACTTAGGCATGATAGCTTTTCATTTTATTTTGAAATACAGATTCTGTATAGAAGATAGCTTCCTAGAGCCACTGAAGTCCCTCAAAGGTTTTCATGGGGCTTCAGTGAGACCCAAATTTCACATACAGTGGTTTTGCTTTTATACTGAATATATTCTAAAATAGCCTCAGGAAAAGCGTGAATTGTCAGCCTTGGGATGTTTGCTTTACCAGCAGCCTGGGAACGCAGAGCTTGCCTCTGCTATAATCAAGGGACTCGTACCTACAGGTGACAATGGGCTGGATTCTGATCTCGCTACAAGTTCAGAACATCCCCAATGCCTTCACTGGAGTTACTCCAGTTTTGTTTGCTGCCTTGTAGGTCAGAATATAGCTGTATTATATAGCTATATATATAATTATATATCACATATATTTATTTTTTTTTATTTTGCTGTCTGACAATGCTGTGGGCAAATATGGAGAAAAAGCAACAGTGCAGATTTTGCCAGCTGTAAGTGGTCTGAATCCCAAGTAAATCTGCCTAGAATGCCTGGTGAAAACATATTCCCTGAAGACGCCAGCAAAGGCCCAGCATCTGCTATTGTTTTTAAAGATAATGTTTTCCACTTAATCTTTCAGGTTTTTTTTCCTTTCAGTTTTTGATGGTGGCTTTGTCACCTCTGGGCTCAGAAGGGAAAAGAAATTAGCATTTAGATGGGAATTTTTTCTCGCATTAAAACCAATTGAAATGGAAACCGGGACCGGCAGCGGGTGAGGAAGGCGAAGCCTATCCGTGAGATAATTCAGAGATGACATTCATAGCAGGCGGATGATGAACTGGCCAGCAGATCCATTGGCCTTTGCCAATATGATTACCCATTACTCACGTGTCTCATGGAGAAAAGCAGTCCACCAGGCTGTCATTTCTGTCCTCCACTCATTGGAGCCCCGAAATGAGCCTCCCACTCAATTCCCCTTGCTGCTCATGGAGACCCTCACCTAAAGCAGAGACCCTTCACCTCCTGAAAGGTGTCCAAGTGAGCCACCTCGCCTCTCATGTTGTGAGGAAACCTCCTTTGCTGGCCCCAAAGGAGCATGTTTGTGGTCTGAGCATGGTGGCAGATATTTGTTTCCCTGCAAACCATCCCCTGGCAGCTGCAAATTTATGAGGGTAGGTGGCCTCAGGCATGGAGGGTGAGCCCATATTCCCATGCTAGAGAGCCCGTGGCCTTCTCTGCAGGCAAGGTTTTGCCCCACACCATCAGAAGCTCCTTTGCTTTTGCCATCATGGTGCCCACCTCATTTTTAGCTGAAGGGTTTCAGCAACGCTACCCAAACTACCTGCTTCAGCGCCTAATACCTCCACGACTCGGCCTCACCTCAGCTCCCATTTCTGGTGTCTCAGTGGGGCTCCAGTCAAGCCTCCCTTTGCAATCATCCTGTTCATTTGAAGGCATCCCACCGCTTCTCATCCCCAGCAACCGCCCGGACTCTGTCCTCCCTCCCTGACCCATCAGTAATAGTTTTGTTTTTTCCAGGAGGATGACATGGAGGGAATCCACATTGTGGCCTTTGCCGAAGAAGACGACCCAGGTAGGAGGCCAGTTTCCTCCTTGCGTGCCTCTCCGTCACTCAAGACGGTGTAGTTTCATGTGCTTTGTTTGCATTGTGGAGCCCCATGCCCCAATGGGGAGCCCCAGCCTGCCGGGATGGGGAGCCGGGATGCTTCCAGGTGTTTATGCTAGCGGGTATGCTAGCCAGGATTCAAATTCTGGATATAAATGGATGGATGGATGGAAAAAAAAAGTCATCCCCTCCACCCCAGCGTCAGGATCTGCTCCCTAACTCTGTGTCCATCTTGCTGTGTGTCTCCGGGAAAGTGCTGAGGGCTGGGTGTGCGAAGTGCATGCGGGATACCTGTGGGCGTCAGCTCCTGAAAAGCCGTGGCACTGGTGCTTCTCAGCGCCATCAGCGTGCCGAAAAGCTTCAGCTTCTCCGGGGCTCAGTTCCTCCCTCGCCACAAGAAAATAGTGACATTGTTCCGCTCCACGGAAGGATTACGAGGCTTAATTCATGTGTAACTAATTTCAATACCAGGGGAGGATGCTTGAAATTAAAAGCCTTATTATCAGCAGAAAGAGCCAGGAGACAGCATTTTAATGAGAACTATAAACAACTCCTGTGTGCATAGAGGGGTGAGGGAAGTTGAAAACCCTGCAAGCGAGAAGTGCCTGTGCGTTTGCAGGAAAGGGCTGCAGCGGTTCATGTGTCATTTCAGATGGTTTTGAGTTCCTGGAAATCCTGAAGCAGGTTGCCAGGGACAACACCGATAATCCCGACCTGAGCATTGTCTGGATTGACCCCGACGACTTTCCTCTGGTGAGTGGCAGGGTCTCCTTGTCTTTCTTGGTTTAATTCATGGATGGGGGTGGGTGTGTGCACGAGCGCAGGAATTGCCCCAGCACATGCACAGGATATACAGGATGGGAAATGGGAACATGGCTGATCCCTGAGAGCTGCTCGTTCAGGTCTGCCTCCCACGAAGGTGGCATCTTGGGAACATCCCCAGAGCCTGCACTTTCCTTTGCCATGTGCAGCGGCCCAAGCGTGCGTTCAGCCTCTCTTCTCTCCCGTGCACTCACCGATGCACACTCCCCGCACCACAGCCCAGCCGGCTGAATTAATGCAATGGGGTATTGCAAATGCCCTGTCTGAGCTTTGTTTCTCTCTCCTGCAGCTGATCACTTACTGGGAGAAGACCTTCAAGATTGACCTGTTCAGACCACAGATCGGGGTGGTGAACGTCACAGACGTGAGTAGCATATGCCCAGAAAATCCAGCGATCCCAAGATTAGGGTGCTAGAAAGGACGAGATCTGAGGTCCACTGGAATCAGTGGGATTTCTGCTGTTAAGTGGAAGTAGACCAGGCTTTTTCTCTGGGAAAAAGTGTAAAGACCTCACCATTCCCACATGCAGCTGGGTTCATAAGACCTCCAACATAAGGCTTCAGGGCTTCAGTCTGAGCATCCTTCTGCTGCCGAGTTGCACACAAACCACGTCTGCTGAGGACAGGACCAGCCCCTATGGTCTGAGCTTCAGTGCTTTGCCTAGTTTTGTTTTCAGGGTCTCACATTTCCACCCCAACTCACAGCATGCACCATTGCGCCCTGCTCTGACTGAACCTGGGTGGGCTTGTGGGGGAAAAGCGTGTGTGTAGGGGGGTGCTGTGCCTAGGGGAGGAGAAGAGGAGAAAAAGGAGAGTGTTTTTGCAGCAGAAGCAGAATCGCCCAGCTTGAGTGTAGGAGGGAAAGATGGTCCCCAACAGAAGACAAGGAGAAACTGCACAGCTTGAAAAAAACCAAATAAATACACAGCCTTAATAAGAGTACAACATAAACTGGTAACAGAGGGATCCTGCTGGGGTGAAGAGGGTATACTGGGGTTCATCCAGGCCCTCCTCCTCCTCAGCCACTGCCATGCAGGTGGTGCTGGAGGGATTTGGGTGGGAAGAGGAGAGGTGTCCGCCCCATGCCCGGTGGCAGTGAAGGCTTTCCACGCTGTCCCGCAGCCGGCAGCGCTGCAGAGGGAGAGCTGCACAGGCAGGTGCTGCTTTGGCACGGCTGCGGTGGTGGTGGTGGTACCCACAGCATCCACAGCTGTGCTGTTGGGCCAGCTTTCTAGCAGCTACTGTTTTCACCACAGTTGCCTTCAAGCCAGCAAGCCATGGGACCGATGTCAAGTTGCCCACCCATTGTGAGCTTTTAAGGCAGGTGGGAGAGGGACCCATCTGGCCCCCACCAGCAGAGATCTGGGGACAGCTGCTGAGTGCAATGTAACGTGCATCACGGCCCTGACACGGCTATGGAGAGAAACCGTTTTTCCTCTTTCTGACAATAACAGTCCAGATGATCAGAGAGCACGTAACGCGGCACGCTCCAGCCTGGCTCGCTTATTACCTTAGTTTATTTTTGACGGTTAAGTGCTGGGTGTTTTAATCTCTTTAAAATGAACCTGTGTGGGTATGTAAGTGTCTCTGGAAGCAGAATCTCTCCACTGCAGAAGTGTTTGTAATTTGGTGCTTGACTTCATGTTTGAAATTTCAGCTGTATGGGAACCTGATGTTTCATTAGAAGAGAGCAGAGAGGGACTTAGAGTTGGGACAACTGTTCGGGACTGGGTGCTGGTCCTGGCTCCACCACTGACCTTGCTCACGGCCCCCACATCCTCTCTCCTGTACCTCCCCAGAAAAAGAGGGACAGCGAGGGAGTACTAGACAATTGTGCCTCCTGTTATAACAAATGCTGCAGGACCATAAGATGGGAGAAGTGGTAGGGAAGGCAAAGCGATGGTGTTATGAAGAAAGAGGAGGCCCTGGATCTTGCCCATCCCATTGAGGGGAATGAGAGGGAAGCACACAGGCTGGCCTGGGACTTACGGAGTAGATGCGGCGCTAGCTGGATGTGAGCAATACTTTACCTGTAATAGAGCAGCATCTGCCAGACCATGGGACAGACACCTAAAGAGTGGGGACCCAGTGAGTTAAGGCTTGTTAGCAGAATTGTTAAAGGAGAGACAAAAGGAAAGAGGGCCAAAATAGCATCTGTCACCTAAAATCATGAGAGAAATGAACAGACAAGCCAGAAATAGAGCCCAAGTCTTCCAGTCTTTTGCCCTTATTACTAGCCCCCAGTATCTCTCTTCATTATATTTACTGCAGCTGGCCGTGTTTAAGTTATATCAAAGCTACATTAAACACCTATCAATGAAAATTCATGGAAGTAGGATTATCAGTGGCAAGAGAATCATACAGAAAGCAGTATTAGGCAGGAACATATGCCTTATTATCCAACAGTCACTCAGAGACGTGTAAAAAATCATGCATTATCTAGCTTTGATAAAGTAAATGTTTCAGGTTGTTGATTATAGTATTTGCAGGTTTTATTTCATTCCTCTTAAGTCTGTTTTCTGTTCCTCAAGAGAGAGATTTAAGAAAGTTCTAGGTTGGCGGGTGACATCTAAAACAAACACTGAGCTCATTTCGTTATTTCAGTGTTACATCACTGCACTCAGCCAAGTTACACAGGTACAAAGTGGGGCTTACACAACGGAGTAAAAATAAACACTGCTGTTGGCTTCGGTGGACATAACACCTGTGACCCCATCGCTTCTCTAAAACCCTGCCAATACAAACACCAGAGCTCCCAGTGGCCCCCACTGGCCCTTCACATCGTAGTGGCTCAGGATGAGGACCATGATGTGCTACAAAATATTGCTGCTTTATGTGCACAGCATCTTTTCTAGGTGCAATGGGCCCACTCCTGTTCCCCTTATTTAAAGATGTCACTTTTTGCTGCACGAACAGTCCTGAGGTCGGGAACAAGATCATTTACATGAAGCAAAAGCTGCATGCCTCTCCATGGCTCTTTTTTATTACAGTTTTAGTGTTTTAAGAGGAAAATATTGTAAGGCAGAAACAGTTTCCCTGAGCAGAAATTGGTCTGACTTTCTAGCAAGCCATACAACAAAGAGAATTAGGTACCACAGACAGGGAAAGAAGTGGGGCACATTTGCAAAAGCCGGTAGTTATCTTCTAACATATGAAAAGCACTTGCTTCTGCAACATCAAATGCTGACCGAGATAACCTCACAGCACCTCTGCGAATAGGAGGCTGATCCTATTTTATGGAGGGGAGATAGTGAAGGGAAAGGAGCTTACCCAGACATTTACCCAAGGAACCTATAGCAAAGCAGGGATAAAACCTTTCATTTCCATGTCTCAGAGACCATGTAAGTTATGCTTCCTGTCCCTGGCTAATAGCTGCAATTTAGGCAACATCTTCTTACTGCATTTTAGACAGCATCTTCTTACTGAATCACCCCATCCCCTCCAGTTTGTGGAATTAATGCAGACAGCTGGAGAGAAAAAGCAGGGGGCACCTGTAGTCCAGGGCATTGGTGTTTTTCACCATTCTTCAGCTGGAGTATGGTTGAGATGATCTGAGGAAAGGCTTTTCCAAGAGGAGCAACCGCTATCACATGTGGAGAGTCCAGAGCAACATCCTGAGGCAAAGGTGATGGTAAAAGAGGCTGGGGAGAAGGGGTGCTGAGAGCAGGGTTTCCTAAAGGAAGAGGTGCCAGAAGGGCTCTGGAAGGAAAGAGGGAAACGCTGTGATGTCCTGTGAACTGGGGCGATGTGGGGGAGCTGGCATAGGTCTCTTTATGCTCTCTTTATGTAGACTTGGAGTCTACAGAACTGGCCAGATGGGGTGAGGACAATGCATCAGGTGGACGATGCTCTTGCTCACAGGTGTAGGCACTGCAGGAGAGGAACGGGCAGCGGGCACACATCTAACCCAGGGCAAACAGTACCACACACTCATGTAAACCCGTTGACCAGTCCCACTGCCCCTAGTCAGAAGCAACAGCACTTCAGGGGGAAGTGGTAATCCCAACGTGTGGGCAGAGAGACACTGTGGCTGAGCCTACCCACAGGCTGTGGCAGAGAGGGAGCTAATGCCACCACCACCCCTGCATCCCACCTGTGGTCCAACCCTTACCCCCCACAACAGCAGCAAACCTGATCTCTTCCCTGTGTCTTGAGGGTGGCTAATCCACCATCACCTGTCCCCGCAGGCTGACAGCGTCTGGATGGACATCAGAGATGACGATGACCTGCCCTCGGCCGAGGAGCTGGAGGACTGGATAGAGGACGTGCTTTCTGGGAAGATAAATACCGAAGATGATGATGATGACGACGATGATGATGATGACGATGATGACGACGATGATGATGACGATGACGATGATGATGACGACGACGACGACTAATTGTGACTCTGTGCAGTTTGACTTGTGGGGGCTGAGAGGCCTCCCCCCGCAGCAGGTCCCTCCATCGGAAGACCTGTGTTTGAGCGTCAGCAAGCACCGCTGCTCCTCTTTCCCCCCTGCCCCGCTCCCCCTGCCCCTGCCCTTGCAGGGACCCCCCGGCCTGATTCTCAGCGGTGCTGAGCCACTGGGACTGCCCCTGGGGCAGGCGGCACCTGCAGGCACCCAGCACCGCTGTAAATCATGCCTCCTTAGTAAGGACAATAGGAATCTGCAGGGAATCTGCCCCCAGTGCCCCAGGGCAGGAGGAAAGTGCCTGCCTGCTCGCTGCCAGAGGGACACAGGGAGCCAATTTGTATTCTCCATGCTCATCGGCCCAGCACTTAACATCCAAAGACCAAATCTCACTTCAAGACATAGGGAAGGCCACTGTAAAGTTTAGTCCTTTTATTAAACACAATGCCCTTTGCAGCTACTCTGCCAAGACCACTCAATCCTGCAAGTTCTGCTGCGGGAGTCTATAGCTACTCATTAACACGCTACGAGCAGCAAAAGGCTTTGGGAGGGGAGGAAGGTTTTAGGGATGCTGTTTAAGTTTTCAGTGATTCCATATAATGACAGGATATTCTTGTCTGGCAGCACAATGCAAAACCAAACACCATGGTCCCTGTCTGAACCTCTTTCTTCTTGAAAGCTCAGACCAAAGATAGGGTAAGTGCAGGTGGTCTGATATGGGACATCAAAGCTTGCGAGTTCCTGAACTGCTGGAAAGGCTGATCCAGGTCTGAGCCCAAACTCTCGAGGCTGAAGATCACGGCACTGAGCCAAACTGTTGGTCTTAACCCCAAAGAAACACCAAAGCAGACCCCGGGCCAGTTCCAAACATCTGCAGCCAGGTCTGGGCTGGGCCTACCTTGCCTTTCAGGTGAACCCCAGCGGGATTGAAGGTGGTGCACATGAGAGAGACAGCACACTCCTGCCAGTGGAAACATTCATAGGGGCCCACCCTGAAGCCCATGACCTTCCAGCTTTAGCTGACTTTTAATCCAAAACCTACATAGCATCTTTTCCCATGACCAAGATGTTGGGAGGGAACACATCCGTCCAACTATATTAGATGCTGGATAATGAGAGTTGGGCAATGAGCAGTGAAAGGATTCAAGCTGTTTGGCTTTTAAGTACTCAATTGCACAGTTACTCCCTGCTTAGAGACTCGGATGTCCCATGGTAGCCCGCAAGAAGCCTCTTTTGACTGCAGACTGAGAAGTTGCTCAGGGCACCAGTTCACAGTCAAGGGGGTCACTCACAAAGCAAAGGGTCAGCAACTCAGTCCCGGCGAGTGCAGCACCATCCATGTGCAGGTCACTGCAACAGTGTTAGGTCTCCCTGCTTTCCCATGCCAGCAGATTTCAATTGTCTTAGCTTATTAGGTTTGACAATAGTGCAATGAATGGAGAGCTTGGAGATAGTTTTATCTTTATAAATACATTTATAAATATGTTCTCCAGTCGTTCAGACTTGTTAGCATAGGTAACACGTCCTCTCTTGCTACAGAGGAAAATCATTGTTCTGACCTTTCTTGTACTGGCTTATGTCAGAGGTAAGTGATGTTAGGAGAAATAACAGTGTGAGGGACAGGAGAATCGGAGCTCATTAAATGAATGCAAATCAGCCTGATGAGAAACAAGGTTTACATACTATATTTTTCCTTTATCAGATGAACTGCAAAGCAAGATTTTATAGATTTTTTTTCCTGCCTGTTGATCAGTCTCTTTGACTCTCTCTACATTAGCTGAAATAGAAATTTGAAACTACTGGTATAAAAAAGCTGAAGTACTGATATATTCCTACGTGTGCCATATCCCCTTGGTGGAAAGTGCCAGCATGAACAATATGCAGCTGGATATCTATATATCTCTATGCATATGAATGAATACTGTGTGCTTATATGGTATATGACTGTAGGCCACGTTAGCTCCTCATTAAACATCAAACACTCAACCTGTGCTTTTCAGGCACAGGTCTATTCTTATTAGACAAATAGACAGGACAGCGAAGCCCCTAGGTCAACTATTGTCTTTTATATTCTTGCCCTTTCTTGCTTCTTTATGATGGATAAGCACTGCCTGGAAGACTTGAACCAAGTGAGTTTGCAGAGACCATCCGCCTGGTCACACTGGGGTTAAGAACAACTCAGCCCCATCCCAGAGGACCTGGTGGAGACTTTCAGAAGGCTCGAAATGCAGAGTGCTCTCAGCCCGGAGATCCCCTCCTCTCCTTCACCCACCCCTCTCTCCTGGCTGGAGGGGTGCCCAGCACCCTCCATCTGCTCTTTCCTTTCAGCTGTTTTCTCGAGAGGTTTGCTGGAGGACCCCGGCTCAGAGGGAGAGGGAGGAAGCAGGACTCAAGGTCTCATTGATGCACATTGGTAAGGAGCGAGAACAGGCAAAACTACCAGTTTAGTAGTCTCCTAGTCTGTGATTAAGGGACAAATGCTGCTTATGTTACTCACCTCAGCAAAGTATTTGTTTACCTCGGGGCTATTCCCAGGAGTAAAACACGCACAGTTTCACCCTGCATAAGGCAACAGCCTGCACAGGCCCTGCAACTCCAGATCAGTCACCGCAAAGTGCCATGAATTTCTATAAACATGAAGAATAAATGAAAAGTTGCTCTACTGCCTTTCCCAACTAGCACTGTCTCCGGACATCCTGATTGCCTGGGTACTCTCCATGTAACTCCCCTCCTGCTGTGGATGCCCATCTATTCTGATGTGCCCCTCTCTAGACACTCCGAGAGGCACAGCTTACACAGGCAGAGCAGGCAGACCCTGCAAACAGCACTACGGACGTGTTCAAGTGCACAGGTGTTTCACAGGCACGTACACATTTTGGTGCATCGAGCAACAGAGCTCTGGGGGAAGAAAATAATTAATGTAGTGGTGCTTAGGCTTACACAGAGACCAGCGAGGCTGAGCTCATACTGGGGCTGGTGGCAGTAGTTTATGGAGAGTTTCCCTTGAGTTACGAGAGAAAGGGCTAATCCTATGGCTGCCACTCCTTCATGGTGCCAGCACAGTCCTTGATGGGGCCACCCTTTCCCTCTTCCCTCAGCCCCCCATTACAGTTTTCATGGCTCTCTTTGCCCATGAATGGGAACTTTTTATCTTCAGCTTATGGGATAAACGCATAAAAAGTTAAGAAAACAATGCAGCAGAGGAAGGATTGCAGCAATGAAGACGACCAGGCAGCAAAGCCTCTCCCATTCACCCACGAGGCCTCGTCTGCCCTAAGTTCATAGTGACCGAACCACTGAATGAGGTAATACCCCTTGTGAAGAAGATGGCAGCTTGAATTTGAGTGTCTTCCTTGCAGGGACAGGTAAGATACCAGCATGTGGAGGTGTCACATGCAGGACCCCCACGCACAGGTGCTCCTGGGCTCCTCTGTCAGAAGTGGCCACAACTGGCACGTGAAAGGCACAGGCGACCCTGAGGAGCAAAGTCAGCCTAACTCAAAAGCAAACGGTCAGTATGTTTGGATAAGGAACCAGCAAAAAAATTCTTTATTTAAAAAAAAAAAGTGCGTGTGGGCAGCACTGAGTGTGTCTGCATGCAAGTCTGTTAAGACTGTCCCTCTCTTAGCAAATAGATCTTTTTCGCCAAAGTGTTACTGAGACGTTCATATTAAATGGGTCTTAATACACATAAAGACAGACAAGGAATCATACTTTGCCCTCATCCAACTGCAAGTGCTTCAAGCTGATCAGTCACTTCAAAGTACCCAAAAAACCTAGCCTTACCAGCCCCAACAATGGTGAGGACCCCCCTCGCAAGCGATACATGGCAAGAACACAAATTCATATGCCACCTCCTCCCAGTCCCCAGACACTGGGCCGAGGCCACAGAAGAGGGGTGTGTTTGGAGTGCTGTACCACAGGCCACCCTATGCTGCTCATGGGCAACGGTCAAGGGAGAGGGAAACCCATCAATAGCCGTATACTACAGCTGCCATACAGAAGCACGGAGGCGAAAGCTTCTACCTTTGCAGGGGACCCAAAGACACTGATGGAGAGGCTCTGTGAACCAGAAACTGCTCTGAGCTAACATCAACCCTTTGGGAAACAGCTCCAGAAGGGGAGGACAAGGGAGGCATGCTGGAAGTGACAGATTACTCCATATTTTCAGGGTCAGCAGTTTCCGTGATGTTTCTGAGGAGTGGTGAGAGTCTCTGTGCTGCCCTTGGGAGAGGAATGGCCCCTTAGTGAAACCAGAGATCTTGCCTGCTTCCCATCCCAGAACAGAGCTGCTCAGCCAGATGCCAACACGCACGCACAGCCGAGGACACCGGCTGCTTCTCCGTGTCTGTCCACACATCATACCTCAGAAATGATTGATTCATTACTGAGACCAAACAAACAAACATCTCCTTTTATTCCCAGAGAAATAATTAATTAGACACTAACATATCACTTCCCAGCTGCCGCTGACTTGCAGCACTGTGAAAACAGGCCAGGATTGCATCTGGATTCCTCTCTGCCCCAACAAAGCTTTGGCTTTGAGGAAACCCCACACAGAGCCAGATGCACACTGATGCTTGGACTTGAGGGGCTGAAGAGCGAGAACGGCTCAACAGGCGACAAGCACCAAGGCCCTCCAGGGCAAAGCAAACTGCCTCCTGGCTACTTTTACACACCAGGTATGTCTATGCTGGGCAGTGCAATGCCATCTGCTAGAAACTGAAGAGCACAGCAGGAGGGTAATTAACCTCGGTAATGAGACTGCGCCAGCAGGACTGTGTCCTATCTGAGACCCAAGACTCTGTGCAGCACCCCACTGCGCTGCAGCATCCCCTGCCTTTGCCCTGTTCCCTCGTACCACCAACATCTGGGCAAACCAGCCCTCCAATGGTCAATACCCCTTGGGGCCAGCAGTGGGATGGCTCTCACACCTGCTTGGCAGAAGATGATCTCTAATGATGATGTGGACCATGGGGCAGGATCCAGAGCAGAGCCAGCCCTCTTGGCCCTGCTCCCAGAACGCTCCCTGCCAGGTTTAAAAGGTGCTAAACTATTTAAAGGGGGAGGGCACGGGGGGGAAGCTACAGAGCTTCCTTGCAGCTTGAAGATCCGTTTCTGAAGTCAGAGTACAAGCAGCTTTTGGGATGGAAGCAAAGATGCTTCTGGTGCCTCACACACCCCCACCTTCTCTTGCTGAGCCCCTGTGATGAAGGACATCAGCAAAGCACTCAAAGGACTTCTGGTATTGTCCCTAGTGAAACGGACAGCAAGAAGAAAACAGCTTTTCCCCCTTCTTTTCATCCCTCTTGACTTACTAATCTTCTGGTCTTCACTGACTCCCCTAATTTTTTTGCTCTCTCCATTTCTATCTAAGCCTGTCTTCCTCTTCTCCTCAACCCACCCCCACAGCATATGGTATAAAGAGCCGCTTAAGGACAAGGCCCTCCCCTGCCCCTGCTGCTTGAGCTCATCCCCAGCCCAGGGAGACAGCAGCCTCCCTCACGCCACTGCCAGGAACCGGCCATGGTGGACCCCCCATGCCATGAGCCGTGGCTGTGAACACAGGGAGGGACAACATTTCCTTTCCGAGGAGAAAGTCAACCAGACAAGGCTGAGACTGGCTTTCCTTTTGGAGGGGCACAGGTGGGACACGCTCAAGGCAAAGCTGTCTCACCAGCCTGGGCACTGTGGAAATACTAGGATTTTTGGGGGGTGGGTACTTTTTCCCATTGTCCCAAAATCCAGATGAGGAACCATCACCCTTCGACCAGGCCCCAACTGCACGGGGAGAGGTTGGGCCATCTTGGCTGCCGCTGTGGGAAGAGACCACTGGCAATCACACCACTACACTGCCTGAGCAGAGGACAAGCGGCACAACTTCACACACGAGAAACAAGGCTCAAGGGTTAAATGAGCTGAGTTTGCTGGAGGGGTTATCCCATACTTCAACAGCAGCCAGAAAGCCAATTACCTGCTGGAGAAGACCAGTAGTTGTCCTTGACTGAGTCCTCCTTCAGTCGTGGGTGGCAAATGACTTAAATAGCCACAGGCAACCTCATTCTCTGCTTTTGGATTTGGAGGAAGCCCAGCCTGAATCAGGTCCCTCCCCCAGTAACACAGGTAAAAATAAAATGATGTTCAACCAGAGAGCAGCCCTGAAATTTGGCTGTTGTTAGATTTTTTTTGTGTTAAAATTCAATCCAACATGTCAAAGCCCTGCTCCTGCTAGCGACAAAGAAAGAGGCTATTGAATGACAAAAGTAACAATGTTTGAAGAACATTTTAGTCCCCGCAAAATGAAATTGCTGAAGGAATTTACACAGCTTCCCACAGTCTAGTTACTGAATTACTAAACCAGTTTCTCCCTACCACTTAGAAAGCAAAATTATAATCAACTGTAGGATCTGGTATTATGAGTAGTCAAGAATGAGCTTTTACAAAATAGAAGCTAAAAGGTTTGCAGATCTGTTTCACATCTGTGGCCCAGATATAATCAGCTCCTTCTCGTTCCCTCTTTTAAAGCATGCCCACAGCATCTGACTTGCGCTGAAGAGAGGTCCAAAGAGCTAGAAAGTTCTGAGTGTCTCAAAACTTCCAGAGAGGCTGAATCAAACGTGTTTTATCAAGAACTCCCTTCTCTCCATGCATCCACTTTTCATTCATGCTACCTATTCAAGTAGTAAGGAAAAAAAAAAAGAAAAAAGACAACCAAGAGTGTAGATGTCTAAGCATTTGGAAGCCTGATTTTTGCCTTTGGAAAAGACTTAAAATGTTTCAATTTACAGAGTAGCTTCATGCCTAGAGCAATTTGTGGTGTCTCTGTTTTTAAAATCTTTGTACCTTCATGTTTCTAAGGATGCTGGAGGGAAAACCCACACCCTATTCTCCAAGGTCTCTTCCACTGACTTCACATTGCCTTCTCCTTGTCTTACTGTCTCTCTCGAGGTTTTGCTACTTCCTCCGTATTGTGATACATAAGCAAGGTGGACGCACTGAGCTATCCCAAATGAACATCCACAAGGTAAAAGTTATCTTCCTTCCTCCTCTTCTAAATTGTATTTAGTGCTGCCCACACAGAGCCCAAAGGCTGCTCGTTCCCTTCATCTTGGCCATGGCCCCACCAGAAAACAACTGTTCTGCTCCTGCCGTGGGCAGGACCCATGGGCTTTGGGAGGCTGGCAAGCAGCAATATTGCTGCGTGAGGGCTCTTGGGATCCCCAGGTTATTTGCATTAGTTGAGCTGGAACCAGAGCAAGCTCCAGGTCACATACAGAAGTGGCCACCTTCATCGCATTCAGGTCCCCAGATTCTGGGGGAAGGAAGATCAGCTCAGGGCTTTGGAGTAGGCTGGCAGTCTTGCAGTGGCCCCCAACCTGCTCACAGACTACTGTACAAGCAGTAGCCAGGGGAAAAAAAAACAAACCCAAACCTTTTCCAAGTTCATTATGGAAGGGGACAGGGAGATGGAGAGAAATAGGAAAACAGCTTTCTTCCTCCTTGAGGTACTCTCCATTTTACTAGCAACGTGTTAGCATAAACCAACACACATGCTCACGGCAGGGCTGTAAAACCTGTTACAGCATTTCAAAGCAACTCGGGTAACCTTGTTCATAGATAGTGATTTATGCATATGCAATCACCCCACTACACCATCCCTACCTACATCTGCAGACATGCTATGCTCAGTGCTCTCTCTTCTCTCAGCACCTCCTGACCCGGCAGTGCATGGACGCACACATGAAAAGGGAATGGACACCCCTGTCCCAGTGGATTATCTGTCAGTACCGGAAAGGACTGTAACCTAAACCCATCACCTTCCCAGTCCAACATAAACTCAGGAGTGGTGTTGAAAGACAAATCAAAGCACTCCACTTGGCCAACTCCCAGCGCGCCTTCCCTTCCTGCCCGCTGTTGTGAGACACCACGTCCTGCTGAGAGATCCCCTTCCCCTCGGACCCACCCCACCTGCCCCGAGCTCCAGGGCCCCCTTGGCTTGCTGCACACACTTTCCCTGGAAGACCTCAAGTTCAATGCCTCCCTGTAACTCCCAGGAGTTCAGATCTGGGGCTGGAACAGCAGCCAGTATGTAGCACCGGAGAAGCTGTTCTGGGGTTTGAAGCCCTGCCCACCTCTACAACCAGATGTTTCACTGAGCTATTAATTTAGCTAACAATGTTGTACGGTGAGGTGTTGCTAGTGCTTCACGCAAGGCTCTGGAGCCAGTTGCCTAAGGTGACAAATCCTTTTCTTAACCCATTTGTTATACCCTGACTGCGCACGGCCCCTTTGCCCCATACCTCCCCACTGAATTCCCCAAAGCTGATGTTTTCTGACCATCCATAACCGTGAGGCCTGGTCTCATCACCTACTGGGGTCAACCAACCTTCTTACGTATTAAGCCACACTTCAGCCACCAAACACTCTACTCCAGTGGTTGTTGCTGTGCTGTCTCACGGTAGCCACAGCCTTATGCCCTCACAGCCAGGAAGAGCACTGCAGGACAGTCATCTCCTTCCCAAGTGACCCCAGTCTGGTATCTCCCTCAGGCAGAAGGTGCTTACCTCTTGTTCAGCACGCCAGGTCCCTCCAAGTGTTCCTTGCCAGTGAAAGCCTCCATCCCCTTTCTGTCTAGAGGTTCAGGTCAGTAATACTTAACCCAGCGTTGCACCTGAGGCTCCCTCGCACCTCAAAGACCCCTGCAACTTCAGTGTAAGACTTGGCCAAACCAGAACAGCACCCTCAGCTCCAATTTCTGCTGAGCTATGCACCACAGCCCCTTATGATTCAGATAGCTGAGCTCTGGGCGAAGGCCAAGGGAACTGGTCCCTCTAGCAAAGCCTGTTCCTTCCATCAGCTTCCACAACCCACAGTGGGAGAGGAAGTGCCACGACCAGCAGCGATCGGGTGTTGATTCGGTATCAGCACTAAGCCACAAATGAAACAGAGCATGCTGAACTCGTATGTAAAGACACAACTCTCAAGGCTAAGATCCTAGGACGAGGCTGATGAGCAGATTATCTTGTTTGTGCCAAATTCCTGCTTCTTACACCTTCCCACAGCACACCTGCGGCCAGCTCCCACAGTGTATTTACCTACACAGCTCCAGTCCATCAAGTAAGGTCTTCCTCTGAGGGGCAGGAAGGGACCAGCAATGGCTGCACACCCATCACAGGCTCTGTAGGGCGGTAGCAGCGTTATTTCCTTTCCCTGCCCACCTCCAGGAGCTGTACTGCCAACAGCCCAGGGCTGGGCACTGACAAAGCACCAGCAGGATGAGGGGGACAGATCAAAAGCAGAGAGATCTAAGGGAGGGCAGGAGGCAGGACCCAGCACAGCCCCATCCCACCCTTCCTGCTTCCTCCTGGGCTTTAGTTCAGCGCTTTGTAGCCTAAATACATCCATCTCCCCCCAAGCAGAGAATCACCCATTTGGATGTTTCTCTCCACCAGTGTTTATACATGTGCTGCTTATCTCCACAACTGTTGCATTCTGTTTTTTCACTGCACAGCAGCATCCTGTGGATTTTTCCAGCAGTCGAAGCCACTAAAGAGATCTGCTGGGCAGGGCGCAGCTGTGAGGCCAGGTACTCCCCGTTAAAAGGGGCTTTCCGGAAGAGCAGGTACCAAAGACTGTCTAGGTAAGAAGGCTGCGCCCACGTTTACCTCGGGCATGGCCACTCGGTCTTTCCGAGCTCTCGGCATGCTGGTGATGGAAACTGGAGGTGGGGAGAGCCGCACCCACAGGTGCTGTTGAGGCGAGATCCCCGCACATTGTTTTAGCAGAGCACAAGCTCGCATCCACACGAACAAGGAGCACTGGCTTTTCCTCCTCTCGACACTCCTCCTCCCCACCAGGTCCAAATAAGGAACTCGGCAATGAGTCCTGCACTTCATAATTCGTGTGCAAACTAGGAGAGAAGACAGGAGGCAGAAAAACCTGTTCCCACTCCAGTCATGCCCCCCCCCAGCTGCATTTGCTCCCCATCATTTGAGATTTCAGGTGTTCAAAGCAGTCACCTACCAGTCTTTCTTCCGGAGTGATAAATGAGTTTGCATTTTACTGTGGCAGGGCGGATCAGAAAGGTCTAGAACAAGAGTGACAAAAAGACAGCCTCAAAAAGGTTAAACCACACGTTTGCAGGGCCCCTCCCAGCCACAGCCAAGGAATGCTTGAAGGCCAGAAAAGCTTTCTTTTTTTTTTTTTGTCTGAAAGGATAAGAGGAAGGAGTGGGACAATCGAATCTGGTTTCAGTTTATTTCCAGAATTTTACTGTACAAAATATGCAAAGTGTAAAACGGTTTTATGTTTCAGTTTAAAAACAACAAAAACCCATCCAGCTATAACTTAAGAGAACCCAGCTTGGAACAGAACAATTTACTAGGCTAGACCCACAGTGCATTAATGTCACAGACACCAGGAATTTGCTCACTTAAAGTTCACAATTAGAAAAGAACAGAAAGACCATGTACCATTGCAGTTAAAGTTACATGTGCAAAGAGAAGGAAAAAAAAAAGAAATAAATGCTGGTTAGTGTCTATTAATTAGAAAACCTTGGCAAAACCCATCTTACTATACACAGTTTGTGTAGAAAAAGAGTATTACACAGTGATCAAAAGAGGGTGAGGGAAGGGCGTTCGCTCCCACCCCCTTCCCCAAGACACGATAATGCTGAATCAAAGAAACAGGCACAGAAGAGTGTAAGATTCCTTCACAGTTACATCTGTGCAGGTAGCGAGCCACAGCATCCCCCCGTGCACGCAGGAGATACCCCCAAGCATCGTTAGCGCTGGTGAGAGGTGCCCGGGAAGCAGCCAGAGGGAAGGATTCCTTCTCTCGGCAGAGCACACGTAGGGCAGGGCTGGCTGCCTGCTGCTCGCAGGGCTTCAGTATGTTGCAGGGATAAAAACGCAGTCTCTTGGAGGGATTCAGAGGGGCGGATAACACCAGCTGTACTGCTGGCGTGGCGGGGACCCAGCTCAGGAGTATCCCAAAGCCACCCACACCGGTCACAGAGCAGTTGTCGGAAACGGCAACTTTTGGTCATTTATCAGAGGCAGCAGCCTGAACGCAGGAGGATGCATATTCCTGTAGGAGACTTCATGGCCCAAAGCCATCTCTTTTAGGAGAACAGAAATTTGGCGGTTTTGGGGGGTTTTAGTTTAAAAAAAAAAAAACAAACAAAAAAAACCAAACCAAAAAATCCCCCAAACCCCCAAAGCGCTCGATCCCAAGAGCGCTTCCTTCTTAACACAGTTTAAACACTGAACCACCGAGCCTAGCTTGAGGCTTTAGACTTGTATAGTGCACACACCTATAAGGGAAAAAGCACACAGTCACACAAGCTGAATGAGAAAACAGACATCTGCTCACACATCTCGTGAACAGCTCTCATACAGCAGGGCAGAACCGAGCGCAACCGAAGAGCAGAGTCTGGGACCAGACTACAGCATTTCTGCAAAAGACTGCAAGACTTTAGTTTTACCTTTGGAAAGGGCAGATTTACAAGTTTTGGTAAGCAAGATGAAATTGGCTTGAATAGGTTTCCATGTTCAGCACAGTATGGATCTTTCCAGTTTCTTCAGCAGCAAGTGCTGGAAACGAGCACATCAAGACTTTTAAAAGCTACTTCTGCAAGGCCAGCTTCAGAAACTGCTTCCCCGCAGCTTTTGGCATACTTGGCAACAGCTGATTCCCGAGGCTTTGCATGGAGATCCTCATCCCAAAGGAAAAGGCTAAGAGGCTCTGTGATGGCTGGGATTTGTTCAGACCTCCCCCAAACTTGTGCCTTATCATGAGTGGCCCCCAAGCTCCAAACTGTAGCCCCAGCACCTCCCATCCCAGTGGATACTTGTTCTGCCTCACTAGGGAACTTTGGGAAAAACACAAGGAGGGGAGGATGGGAGCTGCAGTGACTGAAGTTGCTGGCAGGAAAATTTTTAGAGGCAGAAGTCAGAGGAATAGCTGGCAGAGGCTGAAATCAGATCTGCCTTCCTCTGCAATATCCCCCTTTGGGGTGGGATTGCTCTTGAAGGCACCCAGGACAACCCCAGAAGCAGGAGCTGACCTTGCTCTGTGAGCAAGCTGCATCACACCACCCTTTGACACATGGTGCATCCCACCCCAGCTACGCTGCTGCCTACAGGGCCGCGTGGGGGGCAACGTCTTCCCTCCGCAGGGTGAAAACTGGTAGTTGCAAGCAGCCGCCCCACCTCCCCAAGCTGACCACAGGGGCTTGGTCAGGGACTGGTACAGTATGGAGGGGAGTGCTGAAATGCTTGCATTTCTGAGAGCGCTGCCTGCTCTTCTCCCGTGAGCAGGAAAGGAGTCTGAGACCTGGGGCAGCCCCCCAGAGCCTACACAAGGATGGCTGCAGCCACATGGCAATGAGAGGCGAACAGATGTGCTAACCACCTTTGCCCAAGCCTAGTTACAGGACTAGGTATACAGGCAAGGTATTAAGGGTCTAGTATCTGCCCCTACGCTCCTAGAAGCTGCAATAAATCCAAATCTTTCATTATTTAACCATGAAAGAGAAAGCCTTCCAGCCTTCATGGAAACCCACAGCCATTTCCATCTGCTCTGGAACAGCTGAAAGTCCTAGCTGCATCTGGTTTTGGAAGATCTCAGCATGGCTTTGGATTTAGGCTGTAACAAATCTGAGAGCAAAAAACCAAAGCCTTTAAAGTATCCAAGCAGCATACCTGAGTCACAGGAAAAACACCAACATGGAAAAGAGGAGTTAACCAGGGGCAACATCGCTCCTGGCTAGGCAACGTGGCACCCTGTTGAATGGTTCAGCCTTTAGTGAAGGATGTCCAGCAAAAGGAACATTGTCCACTTGACCACAAACAGGGTTGTCTTATAAACCGCTTGAATTCTAAAAAAAAGAAAAAAAAAAAACAATTCCCAGCCAGGTACAAGCATCCAGGAGAGGAGAATATGTGCAAGAAGACAATGCAGGATAGGAGAGGCATTCAGAGGAAAACAGCCTGCGCTTGGCTGACAAACCCTACAAGCCTTATTTATGCTCAGCTCTTGGCAAGCTCTGCAGAAGTAAGGACTACAGGATCTGGATCAGAGCTTCATTTCCCTGTGACTCGATTCTTACTCATTAGCTGGCTATAAACAGAGTTAAACAAAACAGTCTGCTCTCACCACTCAGTATTTTTATAAAGAGTCTGAATTCCTATAGATGCCACAGATCCATCTGTGGGTCTCAAAGCACTTGATGACAAGTTGAGTTTAGCCTCACAACAAGCCAGCGAGGTAGGTATGACAGTGGTCCCCTGATTTTGCACAGAGCGGGGAAACAAGAGAGATCCTGAAAAATAAAATGTCATTTAAAAAAAAAAAAAACAGAGAATACTCAGGAGTCCCGATTCCCCTTTTAGTCTGTCCTCACCCCTAAGCAGGTTGCATCTCTAAAGAGACTGTCTGAGAGGCCAAGTCCTCTCTTTCAGATTTCATCGGGCAAAGCACTCACACGCTGCTGACACAGGGAAGAATGTTTAATGTAGGAGTTATGGCCCCCGTTGACAGTGTCCTTTTCGGCAGCAGGCAGAAAAGGCAGCACTGAACCACAGGACACAGATGAGGAAACAGACTCGGAGCGAGCTCATGCCGCTTCCGTCTGGTTCTCCATGTGTTCAAGGATTTAACACAATTAAGACATGAGTTTCCTGAGCAGATACTGTCAGACAACCCCCCTTGTGGGGGAGGGAAAAGGAAAGGGGAGGGAAATCCTGGGAACGTAAGAAAGTTTTGCAGAGGTGCCTGAGACAAGGTGCTCCCATGCACATGGCATACCCAAGCCCCCGGCAAGGTGGTTCTTGTTCTGGCTTCACAGAAATGAGCCAATTCAGCCACAGGCAGTAGCCTCCACACAGGCGTAAGTGCTCCACAGTCTCCCAAGCTACTCCCAGTCTCTCCCACCTTGCTGGTTACGCACATCATAAAAGCCAGATACATGCATCTTTAGGAGAGCCAGGTGTGAGATACTATATGCTCCCCTTCCTTTTCTTTAAGGAGGGAATAAAATAATCTATTTTTTCAAAATAAAATACTGCGAAGGCCACAGTCAATAAAGGAGTCCCCGTACAGACTACCAGAAAGCCTGACCTAGAAAGAAACCCAAACACTAAGTTTAGAGAAGGGAAAACTCTACGTACTTCCCATCCTTTAAGGGATGTGGGCCTGATCCTGTCACGTACTGCACCATCTAGTTCTTCACAACCATGTCTGGCGTATTACATGGAGAAGACAGGATCCAGGTGACTACCATGCACTTGTAAGAAAGGTGCAGGAGACTGCAGGTGTCACTTGGATGGGGAATCACCACTTTGGACCCTCGCTCACCAGGGTGTTCCCTTGATCCCAAGAGGAACATCCACAGGTGCTGTTGAACACGTAGCTCCATTGCTGCTGAAGTTGGAAGAGGCTGGACCCTCCTGCTTAAGGCGGCTGCTCCCTCCCACCAGCTTGTGGTGGGCACTGGCCAACCCACACCAGCCATGCCATGCAGGCCTGGCAAAGACCCACTCCCTGGCCTTAGCCGGGCCACTTTGCACTGGTGGGAGTGGGGGGCAGCCCCATGAGCTGGTGAAGGAGCCCAGGGAAGGCCTGGGGAAGGCCAAAGGGGACAGGAAGGGCTGTCACAGGCCCCCTTGGAAGACGATGCACCCTGGCAGCGAAAGGTACTGGCTTACGTACCTTGCTGAACTAGGGCCCTCTGTGTTAAGACATCTGTATGGAGGGCAGGTCAGCTCCTGCCTGATAGAGATATTTGCATGGCAAAAGACTGGGCAGAATGAATCAAGCGTTTGCGTTCACACATGCAAATCCACCACCACAGAGCTGGGGGGGGGGTCTCAGAGGGACCTGACTGAAGGCAGGTCACTGCCAGCCTCCGAGCTGGCTCCAGAGTCACACGATGCCCTGTGCCGGCAATCAGACTTCAGACACCAGTTTAGGCTCATCGTTAAAAGCAAACCTTTCAAAACTCCGCAAACCTCAGATGACAAAAGTCACACACGAAAGCTGCACTGATGGGCAAAGGCAGCCTTAAATTGCAGTTTGGTTTGTAAGAGCTACGCATCTCTTGTGGGAGCAGATCCCGACATTGAGAAGAAACTCCTGCAGTACAGAAAGGCCAAGAAAGGCAGGCAGATTTTCAGCATTCAGACATAGTTTGGTATTTCTTAGCTATAGCTGAAGGCATACGGTGGGGAAGGACACACTGCAGTGTTTCCAGAGCACAGCAGTTCTCCAAAGCAAGTGCACGTGGCAGAGGTCAGCCCTTCCCTGGCTCCTCTCCTCAAGGAGGGAAGTGCTTTTGCCCATCTTTCCTCCAGATGCACTCGAAGCCGGCTGGAGAAGGAGGGGCACATTCCTGCCTGCACCCCCCTTCCCCTCAAAGAGGCTGTCAGACATAGGGAGGGTCTGTGATTTATCTGAGGAGGAGCCAGCTACTTACCTACCCTGTCCCAGTGCAAATATGCAGCCCTTGCAGGTGCAAAAGGAAGCGGCGGTAAGACAGACCCTGAGGGGACCGTGGCTGGAGAAACACATTCGGAAAGCCAGACAGAAGGGGACAGAAACGGGGAGCCTTGGGAGTGCCCGACACAGATGCAGGCAAGCAGGAGAGAGTGAAGCAGGTGAGAGATAACAGGGAGCTGTGTCACACAGAACAGTTTCACTAACAAGCACTGGTAAAAAAAAAAAAAGTAAATTAAAGAGCTGCAAGATGGGCTGATCCAGTTCAAGACAAGCAACTTCAGAGACACAGAGAGCAAAACCATCCCACTATACTCGTACAGGTCCAGCACTGACAGAAGAGGGCACATGGAGAGGAGGAAAAGAATAAGTCTTCAGTCTCCAGATTAGGTGGCTCACAGAAACAGCCCCCTCACACCCACCCTTTGATACCCTCTCCTCCCTGAGTGAACAGGGACTGCAACCCTCCCCGTGCAAGCAGGTTTCTATAGTGGAGAGGTGAGCAACGTGCTCTCAGAAACAGCTACAGGTAGCAAAGGCAGAGACACAAAAGCGCAGGCGCACGCACGGCGTAAGGCAGCACTCCAACAAAAATACCGACATTGCAATCGTGCGGAGAAAGAGAGAGCGTGAGATTTACAGTATGCCTGGAAAGGGGCGGGGGGGGAAAATCTGTTCTGTCTCCAAGGCTGAGCTAACCGAGCCAAGTCACCCTGTCGCCTCTTAAGATATTTCTTTCTAGATAAGATATCCCAACTCCCCCCTCCCCTTTCCAAATAAAGTGCAGATGGTCAAATATTACTGGTCCATCATCTGCCAGTTTCAGTCAGCATTGGGGAAATTAAACCCAAAAGCACAATATTGAAAAAAAAAAAATCCCCAAACAACCCACCCTCAAAATCCCTTAGACTGAAGTCTCAGACTGTAAGCGGAGGACAAATTTATGAGATTTAGGGTCTATGAACTCTTCCGAGAGTTTGATGAAGGGGATTTTCTTCACATTAACAACAAGGCTGAAGTCCAAGCACTTGAGAACAAAAACAATGCCGTCTTGTAACCCGCTTGTGACTGCTTCCTCACTGACAAGCGTCCACTGCTTGGAGAACCAGCGATCCCTGTCGTACTGGAGGGTTGGGCCCGGGTTGAGGTAACGCTCCAGGAATGCCTGCCAAGAGAGGGACATGCGTTAGCACCAGCCCCGCAACTTGCTCTGTGTCGATGCTCTCTTCCCATCCCCAGCTACAGCTCTGCGAGCACAGGCATGCTGTGCTGCAAAAGGTTTCGGCTTCCGCGCTTCAGAAGACATCCTCTCCCCAGTCCCTCCTAGCTTTTCAGACCCCAGGAGCAGGCACAACCACCAGGAGATCCTCTTTCAGTCCATCCCAGCAAGCTTGCAAAGTCATAGCCCCAACTTCTGCTGTCAGCACTGCCGTCCAGCAGCGGTTCAGCAGAGTAGGTCATTTCTTCCCTACCAGCCCCATAACCCATCCCAAAATTGCAGTCCCAGACAGGCAGATGGGATAGCTGGCCCTCCCTTCTTCAGACCAAGCTAACGTGGAAAGCAGAGGTTTCCATGTTTGCAGCCTTACTGAGGCTGCAAAACTAAAAGCAGGACAGGGAACGCCGTTTGATGTCACTTGTGTTTTAGTCTCCTTTGCAACCTCAATGGCAGTAGAACTCCCCCTTACATACCTGGGCGAGGTCCCAGGTGGATCCCACTGAGAGGGTGCTAAGCCCCATCTCTTGACAGCATTTCTGTTCTTAGCGTAGTGAGTCCTGGGTAAATGCCCCCGAGTAAATTCTTGCATTTCTAACCCTTCTCTAAGATTGTGGGGTGTTTTCAGAGGGGAAGGTGGAGCGTGGGAGGGGGGATCATGTGACTTGTTTCCCTCATCATTCAGTCCCTCCCTGTGTCTGCAAGTCAACAGTCCCAGTCAGGGCATGAAGCAGCAAACTGACATTTAATCAAGTGGCCCACAAATTAGAAACACTGTCAGACAGACAAGGATTTAGGCAATAATTAGAAGCAGTCCAAAATGCAGCACTGCAGAGGGGACAAGAAAAAAAAAATTAAAAAAATTAAAAAAATAGTCCTTTGCAGGTTGCCACCTGCATCATGCTGCTACCATGAGCCAGCTGGGAGAATATGCTGTGACTCAAGGCCACCGTCTCAGACGTCTTTGGTACTCCCTTTGCTGAACTGGATATGAGAACAATTATCTCATAGGCACTTTCAGGTGAAAAAAAAAAAAAAAGACAGATGATGCTGTAGAGGAAACATTACTTCCCTTTAAGACCTGATGCAACCTATAATGCGCTGATCATATCACAGGCAGCAACTATGAAAACCTCCACTCACCTCCCCTGACAATTTTCTGTTCTGCATGCACACACAGATGTGCCATCCCTTTCTCCCTCCTTCCTGCACCAACGTTAGAGAAAGCATTACCTTTGGTGTCATGTTATTGGTGATGCAGAAGGACAAGTGTTGCAAGATGCTCTCCATGCTGTGGTACTGTTGCTGGCGGGTGGTGCGAAGGTACTTCTGCAGAGCTCTTGCCATGGAGGGGAAGATTGCCTGGGCTGCTTCTCGGGGATCCATCATCTCTCCGGGAGCTTTCTGCTGTTCCTCTGCCTGGAGGCGTTTGATGTGAGTGAAAGCCTCCTCTACTGCAACCACAAGCCTGCAGAAGGAAAATCAGGACAGTAAGAGTCACAGCAAGAGAGGTAGGATGGATCTGTGGTTAAGGCAGAGCCTGGGAGTCAGGATTTACAAGCTCCTATTCCCATCTCTGCCACTGGCTCACTGCCTGCCATCAGACAATTTACATAAAATCTTCCCTCCTGACAGTCTGAGGGGTACACAGCAGCTTTTCTTTCCTTGCCCAAGCCATCCAGCAACTGAGGGTCATAAACCAGGATTAAGACTTTAAAAGCCTGAGTGTCATACTTGGTTCTGCCAACACAGCATAAACATCAGCTACATGACTCAAACAAGACACAGCTGCCCTTGCATTTAATGCATGTCTTTGAAAACAACGGTTCCAGCACACAGTACCGCAGCGTGAAGCATAAGGACGGGCAAGCAGTCAGGAAGGGGCTGGTTATAAACTAGCATGACCCAGGACACAGACTGCTCCGTGACTCTCTGTGCTCACAAGCTGCAGTCTGCTCCGATTTATATCAAGTAGGTACAGACCTTGTGCTGCCAAATGATTGTTCTGCACCCCTCCACTGAACAGTGACGGCGCTCCCGTCTTCACGCCTAACACTGCAGCTAGAGACATCCTCTGCAAACCATTCCTGTGTTGGCACAGGTGAGCAAACACCAAGACCACACCATAAAAAGGCAAGCCAATGCCATACGACACTTCCAAGTTAGCCCAGTACTAAGTTACAAGTGAGGGGCTACACTGCAGCTAGCGAGGAAAAAGTAACGATAAAGGAAGAGTCACCCAACAAAACTCTTTTGCCCCTCCAGACAGGACTTGTTTCACACTAGATTTCCACTCAAGTCACCTACTACTGTCCACGCTGCCCTCAATACCTAAAGCATCTTAAAGCCAGGGGAAGCTGCCTCACGGCGAGCAGAGGTATAGCATACTGCATTCAGACTATATACGAGGATCAGCATGAGAAGCCCTGACCCCCACCCATTTTGTTTAATTTGACTTGGGGGAGATGGGGAGTGGAAATCAGTTTCTAATCTCCTCATATCTTTTTGTTGCAGCTCTGACCTTCCTCCTTTGAAACATCTGGCCTGATCTTCTAGTGACTGATGGTTTTCTCCTGACTAAGCAGCTGTTCTAACCAAACTCAGCAAGTGAGGGAGATGCGCCCAAGTTAGGATGCTACACTGCACGGAAAGGAAAGCTTAAGTTCCTATTGCTCCAAGGCTGGAAGAGAGCCCAAAAGACAGCGGCTATGGAGCACAGATCAGACCAAAGCAGGCTGGGGGGGACACTGTGCCAGCACTTTCCCAATGAAATATAAACTGCCAAAAGAAAACACAAAACAAACCAGCTCCTTCCAGTTACGGCACATTCCTTCCAAACACAGTTCAGTTCAGGGGTGCCTGTCCGTAAGCAACTTGCCTCAAACTGTTAGGTATGTTAACTACAAACTGTAATTAGGCTCCAGAGCAAATAGAGGCACTACCTCGGGTCACCTCAACAAAGCATCAACTCTGCAGCCTAAGTGTGACTGGCAGAAAACATACCTACGTTCCAAAATAAAATGCAACCAGTTCTGGTCACTGGTTTCCTCCCCAACTCACTGAAAAGGCCAAACCGCCCCTTTTAGTAGTCTGCAAACACAAATATTCTCCTTGCCCATGAACAGGCAACACCAAGTGCTCCACTGATCGTGTCCCTGGATTACTTGAGCTGAGACGACAAGCCTGGGCATGGGAGAAATAATGGGATTTCCTACAGCAAGTAACTACAGATTTGTCAAGCACTGGACTGTTCCCTAATCCGTGACATTGCATTAGTTTATCTAGCATAATAAACAGGAGCTTTGCTTTATGCATGCTCTTCAGGTAATTCCAGTCGCAACCTGTCACCATCCCTTGTGCATCTGGGTTTCATATGCTTCTTTGCTGTGACAGATTTACAGCCAACCCCCAGCCCTTAATCACGGGTCCCCCCCTCGTCAGGTTCAGCAAGCCCCATGCGACTGAGCCTCGCAGCGCCGAGAGGCGGCACCCAGGAAGGGACAGCTTTACCTTGCACGGCGTTTTTTCACTCGGCGCTCGTGGTCGGCCTCTTCATAGTAGAGCTCGTTGTGACTGGAGTCCCTGCGACGGGCCGCAGCTGCAATCATGGCACGGGACTGCCCCGAGGCGTTGTTACCTGGGCCTTCAGGAGGCGAGGACGAGCAAAAAGGAGACAAGAAAGGTGGCGTTACTGCCACAGGACTGGGGCTGGGACAGACCAGCACCCCACAGCATCTGTCACAAGTGCTCTGTGGCTCCAGCCTTCACATCCGAGGCTATAAACCCTTCCCCGGTCCTCAGAGGCTCCGACAGAAACCCTGCTAGACAGCACAGGCTTGCAGAAGGGGCTTTGACTTGTGGACGAGGGAAGTTAGTTGGGATGAAGGATCTCACGCAACATACACAAAGGCAGAGGTGAGGTGCACATGCCAAGGATGCAACTTACCACCCATTATATAGGTTTTCAGTTTGAAGGCAAGGGCAGCTGGAACACACCACATTTCAGCAACAAGACAGTGTGAGAGCACCATGAAGTGGGGAGTTGCAAAGAGGAGAAAGACAAACAAGAACATCAAGAGACATGGAGATGAATGAACGAAAGCCAAACTTCAGACAGTTACACGCAGGGAGGATAAACAGGATGCAGAGGCAGCAGGGTCACCTCTAGACAAAGCAATAGGGTTTTCCAGAAGGGCAGATGCTGTCAGAGCAGCAGTCCTGCAATAGGGTAGGCTGGGGTCTATATGCACAGTAGCTCCTCGAGGCTCTCAGAGCAGCACCTGCCATTAGTGCTTCTGTTGCTGCTAACAGATCCTACACAGCTACAGGAACAGGGAAGCTGCAGTCTGCTCTAACACCCGGACGAGTGACAGAGCTGTTTACTACAGGATCTTAACTAGCGACCTTAAAATGCAGTAGTAGGTTCTGCAGTTCCCCCATGAAGCTCACAGCTCTGGCTGTTTGGGCAGAGAGGGGGAAAAAAATTGTTGCCCCAGAAGAGTCTACCAACCCTTTTATCTAGAAAGAGGATAGAGGTGGGTCTACCCAGAGGGAAAGAGGAGAAATCTAGGACAGTTTCCAAACCACCAAGAGCTGCTTTTCTGACTAACTGCTCTGAAAGCCCACACTTTCAACTGGCAGTGGTTAAGGCCAATCAATTGCACAGACATGCTTAAAATTTTCTGCTCATGCAAGGGCAACTTTTTAATTTTTTCCTAAAAAGCACAAACGAGATTCCAAGATAGAAGCTTGAAGCTCAGCAGCGGGAAGGACAAGCATTCACACAGACGGCTTCTTAAGAGTCTGAACACTTCAGACTTTGTTTGACAGCCCTGAAATGGAGGATATGACTCAAGGGAGACACTAGCTCCCAAATTTGGGTTAGAACTGTAATTTGCCTCATTGACTATGCCTGGTGATGAAAATCCTGGTGTTGAAGGTGAGCCTGCCCACTCTGTATAAGAGAGATTACAGCAAGATGTTTCTCCTTCCTAGCTGCTCCAGTATCAAATACAAAAGCTGCCAACAAATTAGGCTGCCTTAATAGCATTACTGTCTTTTCACATGGAGGGTGTAAGAGACTGTCAGGATGCCAAGGTAAGCTGCAGCCAGAACTACACTCTGCTTCATAAAATGGATGGGAATCTTCTTAAGGACATGCCTCTACGCCCGAGATCCCCACATCCGCAAAGGCAGCGGCACTGCACAAGAACAGCCCAGGGAACCGGTACTGCCCCAGAAGGGATGGCAAGAGTTTTCAGGCCCTGGCAGACTTGTGAGCTTGACACTTGGAAAGGCCTGCCAGCCACATCTGGAGCTTGCTCCTGGTTCCTTCTCTTCCAACAAAGTTTTGTGAGCTTGCAGCTCCTAAGCTACTAACCCTACCAGACTGGCAGCTTTTCCTCCAAGCTTGGGAGTCCTAACGTCCCAGCAGATGCTGCAGGAACAGAGACCCTGCCACCTCCTGAAGAGATGCTGCAGCGCAGGAAAAGACAAGCCAGCTAGTAACCAGAATGGCAGTATGCAGCCAGCCTGGCGGGCCGTTCGGTTTGAATGGCGTGCAGGCACCTGTGGGATCGGGAAGCCCTCACTTTCCACACACCAGGCCTCATTGAGAGTGAACAGCTGGAATGAAAGATTTCACCTCTAGAAAAGCGCAGAGCAAGTCTGTTTGCTTCATGTCTCCAACTCAACTTGTTCTCTCCCACCTGAGAGCTTCTTCACTCCAGGCAGCAGGGGACACACGATGAACAAACCTGCCCTTCTCCCTCCCCCGCTGCTTCCCTTCACTCTTCCTCTATCAGGATGGGGACATCTCACTGTAAGGATCTAAACCTCCAATTAATTTTACGGACTCAGGAGTGCTGCATCAGGTTTGGGGAAACAACAATAGAATAAGGTCTTTGAAACTTCTGAAGTCACCAAAAATGAAAAAAAAAAAATTAAAAAAAACATAAGGCATTGAAGCTTTGTTGAAGGTAAAACAATCATGTCTCATGTTTTCCCATGTGACAGATATTCTTCATATTTTGGTCTCCACACCCTGCATGCAGAGCCACCTTGCCCAGCTAAGTCCCTTCGGTCCCTTCTCCTTTCCAGCTCTCAAAGCCTTTCAGTACTAACAAATTCCCGGGCAGGATGTGCCTTACCACATCTTGTCACAGGACTTCATCCGTCCTTCACCATAAAAGCTTCCCTACACAACTTCAGCTCTTTCATCAAAGGAATGCGCACTTTTATAAAGGCTGTGATGGCTGGGCACACCCTGCTTATCAAGCCTAGCTTTCACTGATAGGGTTTAAGAGTGCCAAATGATTAAGTCCAGTTTTCACAGCTTTGAGCGTCCACAGGGATCCATCCATCCATCCTCCCACAGGCCTCTTTAAAGCCCAAAAGTTTGAAACAGGTTTGTAGAATGGCAAAGCTCAAGAGGGATAGTTATCTGTCTCTGAATTTCCATGACCTGCTTAGCATCACGATGACTTGGGAGCACAGCCACGCATAAGCCAGGCATAGCTAATTTACCGCTAAGGCTGCTGCTTCTTCCCACGTTGGTATCAACCTCCTTCACTTTCCTGACGGCTGCCCATGGCTGCCCGTGGAAGTGGCATGGTAAACGACTGAGGAACTCATTTAAGTTAAAAGTTGTGTTTATTGTACTAGCACAACCAAGGAGATGTCCCAAGGGTGTCAAAAAGCAGAAGCTGCCTAAAACAAGCAGTAGTGCCGAAAAGCGCTTGTCAAGCCACATGATAATTAAGCCTGACCGAAAACTTGTCCACTTCACCTGGCAAAGACAAAAGCCTTATTGTGGGCTAAACGCATCTGTAAAGTCATCTGGAACCGGCAAACTCAGCACTGTTAGGAAGATTTCCAGCAAGAGACAAGGATTTGGCAAAGCAAAAAGGTGAGAATGTGTGCATAACAAAGCATAAAGCCAACCCAGCCCTTCCCCATCCCACCCAGTCTCAGAGACTACATCTCACCTCACCTACCATCAACATTGTAGACTTTCAGGCCAGCCATGTGCTTGGCTGCACGGGATTTGGAGGCTGTTAGCAAGGCTGGGTTGTAGACTGTGAAATCTTTGTAGTAATTTTCCAGAACCACCAGTGCAGCTCGCTGGATGCTAGGGAAAAACAGACACACAAGACAAAACACCCCAAAATGCAACAAGTTCTTTTGTTTCCTTAAAATAAAAAAAAAAAAAAAAGAAAGAAATAGCCACATTATTTGGAACAGGGTTGTCACGCCCACAGAATTGTGCAATACACAGAATACTCTCTCTAGGACCTGAAATTTCATTTGAAATGCAAGACAAATGTCTCTGCCCTCACCTCAATAGGAGGATGACAGGAAATCCCTAAACAAGGGCAGCACATAAACTGAAGCACTAGACTGCCTGCAGTATGGGAAAATACAGAACAAGAGCTTAGCCCACCACAGCAGCAGGACAGCTGTGACAGAGACCTTGCCCAGGCTGAAGATCAGAGCACCGCACTGGTTTTGCTGTAGCTGGCTGGACTAGATGGAGGGACCAGCTCAGGATGGATGCTTTTCCCTTTGAGTCATTTTCAGCCGCACCTCGCAGCTCCTCAGATCTCTTCCATCCCAGCACTGACAAGAGCCCCATCTCTTCAGCTTTCACAGCAAGATAAGATCGCTGCCTGAGGAGTACGGCTGCAGGAGAAGGGATTACCTCAGTATTGCTTGTTAAATCCCAGGCAAGGGACAGAATAAGGAGCAGTGACACTCCCTCCCTCCCTTTGAAGGGATGCCTCTATATAAAGTGATGACACACGGGAGCAAAACAGCACATGCACCAGCAGCAGGAAAGGCTCAACCCAGAGGTATCTTTCTTTGCAGTCATTTCGACAACAGAGAGAGATGCCTGTAGGCACTGCTACTAACAAATAGGACAGTATTTCAAAACAAGCAAGCGCTATGGTGTTTAAAAAAATCCAACACACACAGAGGATCTAGGCCGTAGCTCCCTCCCCGTTGCTCTGGCTCCAGGCCCCAGCATGGTGTCTGGCTGGTGGTAGTATTCTCAGCAAATCACCTAGATCACCGATTCAGCCAGCTGGAGTTTGCCAAGAACCCACACTTAATTTTGTTTTGAAGCCACAAAAATTATAAGGGAACTGCCAACACATTTGTTGCCAGTTAATTGTAAAGTTCACACTTACCAACAAAGCCTCTCCTAAGGAAAGCAACTAAGTATTCTCACACATGTTACAACATAGGAAGAAAACATTACAAGGATGGTAACGTGGGAAAATAAGACATGAACACATTAAAACCTAAATTCAATTCTCAGCACTACCACCAATCCAACGCATGCTCCCAGAGGAGCAATTTAAATTTCCCTGTGCCTTGTGCTAACATTAAACTTGTGCATCACACCCCAGTAATTTAAACATACGCGCACACACACCCTCTGCCATCCTCATTCTCCAGCTGTCCCCCCCGCACAGGCCAGTGAATTAAACGTAGATGCCAGCCCATTCATGAGATTCTGAGAAAGAGCAACAAACCCAGACTTGTTCACTGTGTACCTTCATCAGTCAGTGTTATGGTACAGTGCCATATATTTCATTAGCTGTGTACCCTTTTTGAAGGAAATTCCATCTTTAGGACTGTTCGGTGGGGTCTTCTGCATCCAGCTAGAGCATCTTAAAGCAGCTTTATTTTTCAGGTGCCGGTCCTTCATACTTCCTCATATCAGGTTTGTTAAAAGCAACTCCATTTAAGCACTCAGATACTGATACGGTATAAAAAGCTACTATTTAATCAAGGAAATAATCTTCCTTTAATGAAGTAGTACAGACTGACCCACTGCCACACACATGTAGGCGCTGACACAGAACAAGTGAAAGCCGGTTTATTTCTCCCTGCCAAACTTCTGATTTCTACTGTGAATTTGCTGCAGCTTAAAAACAAAATTTCATAAAAGAAGTCATGCGGTGGCAGCACATATTCCCCCTTCTGACTGCATTCAAACATGACCGAGTTTTTCCATATCTGCTTCCCAGGAAGGTAAAACTCCATAGAGTTTCACCTCAAAGTGCAACATTTGGAAAACTAGGATCAACTAAAAACAAGAAGATAAAAATGAACAGAGTTATACTCTGCTAATACACTGCACTCATTTCAGGCAGTGTTGGGATTTCCATCCCAGCAGTGGGAAATGTTTGGGAGGTACTCCATTGACCAACTAGCTCTATTAGGACAAAGCACAACTCATCACAGGAGAGAATAATTTCTTTTAATACATACACATTTTCCCTGGACCCCGCAGAGAATGCGATGATCAGGATGCCAGCTTTCCCCACCCACTACCCCTTCCATCCCCTCACTAAATAACCTACCCCACCAATTCATTGGCACACGCACCCAAAATCCAAACACAATAAAGCTTTTACGTTGCAATAAGCAACCATCATTGCCCTGAAAATTAAAGCCCAGCTATATTTCGCTGATGCAAATCCAGTACAGGCTCAGTCCCACGTATGAGATACCCCAATCACACAGAGGGTCTGCTCTCTAGGGAGAGAACTGTAATTAAACATCAATTTCCTAAATTTCTACCAGCCCATTTCTGTCTCCCATGTAGTCCATCCTACGCATGGCAGCTAAGACAGCTGGACTGCAACTCTTCAAATTCTATTTTAAGGGGGTTGGAATTAAAGAGTGGACAAGAAAATTAGAAGGGTGACAATAATTAGCAAAAGCAAGGAGAAGGCTGAATCAGAGCCTTCTGGGCTGGGTTGCTCAACCTCTTCACCCACATCAAGGGGAAGCCTCACCCTGCACAGCGCAGGACAGCCAGCCCTGCCCCAGGCGGGAGCTGCAAAGCAACAAGAACACCCCGAACAGACACAGTCGTCACAAGCCCAGCAGAAAGGGACCCAACGCACTTGTGCAACACAACGCACAAGGAGGAGGGTAACTGCAAGCAAATACGCATCCAGAGCAGCCCTGAGGAGCGAGTAGGAGCAAAGCAAAACGCTAAGGAAGTCTGCTGTCTCCCAACAGAAATTCAGTTTTTCGGGACTTTCCACTGCAGGCCAGACCCTCTGCTGCCTTGCGAGCAAGGTGAAGTGGCTGCAGCAAGCCTCCTCTCCACCCACACGCCAGCTCCGATGGGAATGGAAACTGGCAGCCTTCCCAGAGCCCGCGTTCGGAGGCTGTTTCCTTGCAGAAGTGTCTCAGGAGGGGTTCAGCACCATGTCGGTCACTGCATTCATTCACCCCACACTTCAGCAAACTGAGGCTTTCCTTGCGTTTATGATTTTAAAAGAATGGGGAGGGGCAGGAAGAAAATGAACAGAAAGTTTCAATACTTAATTGCCTGTTTGGAGAGGGTCAGAGTGAAGATCCTCCTCATGTCTTACAAAGTGGATCTGGCAGCCCAATATATTTCAGGCATTGTAACAAACTACCAGAACACAGAAAAGTGTATCAGAATGTGAAAAGCATTTTTGTGCAACAGTTCAGACTCAGAAAACCTATGACATGAGAAAAAAAAAAAACAACAACAAAAAAATCAACCAACTCTTGCACAGGCCAGTGACCTACTGGAAACCCAGTTTTCCTTGTAGGCAACATTGGTAAGGCTTTATATTTTGTTGCTTTGCATTTTGTGTGGTTGAAGGGTTGCTTTCTTTGTTGGTTTTTTTTTTTTCCATTATTACTACTACCCTGAAGAAGGCCATGTCACAGCACGCTGCCAACAAGGAAAGCAAACAAGCAGATCCAACAGAAGCACAGGTTACCTCAGTGGCATTTGGCAGTAGAGAAACACAGTCCTTTACAAACAGTAATGAATTAACTTTTACAGGGCATCCAAGGAAGTGGAGGAGGGGACTGTGATACAAAGACAGCAACTATCGCCAATTTTTCTCTCGAAAGGTAAGTCAGGAACAGTTTTGCCTGAATACCTGCTACTACATGGGATTTTTATATTTGAGGTCTTGCCATACTCTGTAGCTCAGAGGCCATTTTGGCTTTGTATTTGCCTTCTGTGACATAGCTACACCAATACCGAAATTAGCTTTCTTAGAGGATATCCAGGAAAACAAGCCAGTGCTACAGTGAAGCAAAGCACAAGGAAAGAAGCCTGTTTATATAATCAAAATACTGGCTTTGGACCCCGCCAGTTTCTAGAAAAATGGTTTTGAGTCTTCTGAAGTGGTGGAAAAGGGTTAGCAAAAAAGAAAATGAGAAAAAAAAAAGATTTAAACCACACCCCTATGCTCAAAGTTGCCATTGGACACACTAGGGTCAAACCCAGCAGGCTGCAGCAGCCATCATTCACATGGTTTTAGCAGTTTCGTGCTTTCCTGCTAAGCTAGAAATGTAGCCTGTCATGGTACTATACCAACCATCAGCTAGACACTGCTAATCATCGCAGGCGGGGGAATGCCTCACGCTTTTGCAGATATAGATATAAATACACATCCAGAAAGAGCTGCTTGCTACCAGAGCACCCACTTCCTTACCTTGCTATGGATGCAAACCCTGTAGCATCAGAGTTTAGGTTGAGCCACACACCTAAAATCCATAGGGATACTCAGAGAGGCCTGATCACTGCTGTGCTAATTGAGGGCTGAGGAAGCCTAGGGTTATTTAATCAAATGGTTCCCAATACAGACTCCTCTCCTCCAATCAACATTTTTTTTGTGTTCTCCAAAACAGACACAGCATCAAAACAAGCCAAAGTCTCTGGGCACACGAAATACATGCCACAGCTGGTTGGGAAGCTTTGGCACCTCAAAGAGAAGCTGAGCAAGGATTGCACAAAGCAACCTTCCACGCAGAGCCAGCTTTGTCTTACTGGCTGTCTCCAGCCTACAACTGCATCAAGCTTATCTACTGCAAGAGATGCTGAGGTCTCCTGAAGTGCTGAGCTACTTATCCACAGCACTTCATACTCTCTAGCAGTGCTGTCAGCTCATACCCAACAGGCTCAGAAAACTTCTGTGCCTTCTCAGAAGCACCCTACAATCATATCTCCCTCCCAGAAAACCCCTTTCCTTCACATACTCTTTTGCTAGGCGCAGAGCAGGGGCTTGAGTTCCTGGTCCTTCACCACGCTTGACTGCTCTTCCAAAGCAAAGTCACCAG